GCCACATAGCCAAGCAACGCACCCTCTCACGCCATCAAACACCCCAGGAACACCAAGCGCTCACCTTGACAAGGTCACCGAGCTCCTCGCTGCACTCCAGCTTGTCCTCGTTGAGCCAGTTCTCGAGGAGGTTCTTCTTGTTCTGGTTCACGACCAGACGCGACAACTCCAGCGACTCAAACGCGTTCAGCTTGCCCTTGGTGAGCAGCGTGCCAAAGTACTGCAGCAGGGGAGAGGTCTGCCCCGGTTGCACGGGAACGCTCTGCAAGAAACACACAGGAACGGGAACAGGTGTAAAAGGAGCGAACGAGGAAACACATTACAGGGTGTGCGACACTGTCAGTTCCTTGTATGTGTGGCGTTATTCGTTAGCCCGTCTAACCACAGTTTGGCCGTACCTGGAACTTAGCCACCGTCTCAGGCGTGCGAAGGATTCCCTGGGGCGACTCAGCAGCCAGATCCGCAGCTTCCTTGTACTTCATCTGCGAGAACAGCTCCTGGAACCTTTGCACGACCTGCACAGAGAGAACGACGAGAGATACAAACACGACTGGCATGCTCAGGCACATGACGAGAGCGGTGCACTCACGCCAAGCAATGTTTCAGTAAAAACACGGGCGAACGCATTAAACCGTGTAGCATACCAGGTTCTCGGCACCAGGAAGGTTCCCGCGGCGAGCAAGGTTGATAGCGAGCTCCAGGTTGTTGAGCTGCCCGCTGACGAACGGAACGATGGTCTGCTCGTTCACCGTCGCAAGCAGCACCTGCCCGCGGCGATTCACAGCGTAGAAACCGCCCACGCTGGGAGCATCGGCGGCCAGGAAGATGGGGTCCGGGCTGATGCGATTGCGGTAGACCGCTGTGGCGGACTCGAGGTCGTACACGAAGAGCAGGCCCAGCTTGGTGATGACATACACCAGACCGAACTTCGCTGACACCTGAACGAAGGGTAAGGGTAAAGAAGTTCGACGGCCGAAAACAGGGGGAGAACAAAGGGGTTGAACCGCAGAAGCGGGAGTAGTAAACGTCTGTGGGTTGAGGCATTGAACGCAAGGTTCCTCACCTGCATGGCGACCGGAAAGTCATCAGCGAAATCTGGCGGGAAGAACAGGTCGGCCTGCTTCTTTGTGAAAGGAACGCGACCTGAAACAGAACAACCCGACTTGACTTTGTCAGCTAAACCAATATATTCTGAAACAAGCATCGTACGAAATGTAGCATTCGCTGACCTGGCTGAGCACCAAGCTCGATAATATGCAACCTCGAAATAAGCTGTCCGCCAGTGATAGTCTTGGTGGCAAACGCAATGACCAGAGACGGAGTGTCGTTTCCTGGCACCTGCACGATCACAGTTAGTCGAGTTGCTTAGCAATGCAAACGCTTCGAATAAGCTCAATGTACAATTTCCTGTAAGCGAAATTGAACGAGCCATAATTGGGTTACGGAATCAACAGACCTTCACAGAGGCAAACGCAGCTGCGTGCGATTCCAATGCCTGACTCTTTTGCTGATCCACGGAAAAGAGCTGCATATTTCCCTTGACAAGTTGTGGACGCTGCAAGAAAACGAAACTAGAGGTACATCATGAAGAACCATATTCGCGACTTTAAATTATTAATCTAATAAGACAAGACTTCCTGCATACCTCAGGAGCACCAGGGGCGATGCCGATCAAAACAAGCCATTTGCCAGAGGGATCACTACGGTAGTTGATAATCTGGTTACCGTTCAAGTTCGCTGTCCGCTCGAACATCTTAACGGGCTCTCCCTCTCCTGGTAGAGACAACAAGAAAAGGAATAAAAAGTCTCAGCACTGCATGTTCGCTGCAAAAGCCTGTCTTAGATGATTCAGGATAACTTTGACAGAGAAAGGGGTGGCAGAGGATGTCGTTTGAAAGTACAACCTTCGATCGACCAGTGGTAAACAGATGTCAGAGTTACGAGGCCGAGAACTTTGCTGGAGATCCACTTCCAGTACACAACCTGGAAAGAGAGAAAGCGGTCTGTCAGTAAACCTTCTTCATACTAATGGCAGATGCAACTGTAATCTGACGCTGACCTGCTCTGGCATCTGGTAGGACTTGATTTTAGCCTTAGCCTCAATGTTAAAAATCTGCAAGTGATCTTGAGTCGTCCCTTGAATCAAAGCTGCACGTTCAAACCGAAACGTCTGAGTAATCCGGACCTAAGGAGTCTGTAACGTAAGCACGAGCTAGCAGCGAACTGACCCTTGAGCGCCAAGATTTTGCTTTCGGGATTCATCAATGCTGAGTCAGCAGTGATAGGCCTCCTCAACGGCTGCATTGGCATCGCCATGTCAATGATGACAACGCTGTTCGACGGAGCCGTTTCCCTGACACAGATATACTTATCGGACTCCATCGTGACATGAGTGAAGGAGATGAACTGTTGATTGACCCCCAGATTCGTCAACTGCACAAGGAAATACGGTCGGAAAAAAAGATGCCCATGTCGTAAAACTCAGAAGTCGTCGAGTAACAGTCTACAATTTTATCAGCAAAGCGCCATGCAGTTGAATCACACGAAACCGATCAATCTCTCCTGGTCGATCTGCGTAAATCTAACTTCAATCTCTCCTACTCACGCTTAGAGCCTCCTTCAAAACGATAGGAGCGCTTGCTGTAGCCATCTTGCCACCGCAGGAAACGCTAGCCGATCAAGATAAGACGCGAAACTCAAGTTAAGTGGCCTGATCGCAAGTAGCTCCTACTACTATGGAGCTTACAGAGGTTGCCTTCTCTAAGGGATGCAGATCTGAATAGCTGATCCAATCCAACTCAGAAACTGGTTTGGAGATGCTACCTGAAGAATTGGAGCAGCTACCAGATTCTAGGGATTAGGAGGGAAAGTTGGGAACAATGTTGGTGTGGAAGTTTGGCGGGGAAGGATCCCTACGTCACGTTCGGCAGGATCTAGGCTTGAGCGGTTTGGTTAGCGAAGCAATCGACGGCTAACGAAATAGCTCTAATCCCTGGAAAATGTCATTGTTCGTCGAAACAACTAATAACGGTTGCCTTGAGACGTGAGGGGACTGGTGTCGGCGATAGTACAAAGCTCGTTACGGAAATATAAGAAAGACTCTCTCAAAGATGCTGAAACTACGAAGTTGACTGTTATTTTTTGTCTGGACTGTGTGAATTTCAGCTCCCATCTGCAGACAGACCTATATTATGGAGATTGTAAAATATACCTCCAAATTTTATGTACAATAAATAACTTAAGTCTATATTCCAGCGCAGCAGTTATTTGATTCCTGATTTTCCGCAGTGCAATAACAGTGATTTTTCTTCTGTAACTTTATACGTCTGTAAACTTTACTAACATCTTTTTGTCTTGTTTCAATTCCATTTAGCCTGACAGCTCCCTACCGAACCAGGAATATGCAAGTATCTCCTCACCCCAGTCGAACATTGCAGAACGAGGAAGGTGCAGATATTGGTGCACTGGTCAGACCTGTGTAACTGGAGGCTCGGGGGGACCCGATGTGGTGACCCAAGTGGCGAGAAATAGGTGCGGAAGACCAGAAGTAGCCTTGGAGTGAACCTCGGAACCTTTGACTGGGGGTCTGATTGGAGCTTCAAACCAAATGCGTGCAGGTTCGGTATAGTTGGTGGTGGTGGTGAGGTGAGTCGTTGTCGTGAGGACCAAGTGATGAACTCGGCAGACCACTCTATAGTGTGACACACACCGAGTGTACTTCTCATATATGACTGTCTCACTCGTGTCGTCACACTCCTGTCGTCACACTCGTGTCGTCACACTCGTGTCGTCACAAGGGCAGTTGGGAGTTGGCTGGACTAGGCGCATTCCTTAACTTCAGTCGTAGCTCCTAGCGGAGTTTCTTGTTACCGGTATATATTTTTTAGTAAACATAAAAAAGGGAAAAGAAACGGTACCATTGCGAGGACATGCGTGTGCGTTTCTTGTTCAGCCTACAGAATTTCGTCATTAAAGACTATTCCTGGTCTAGAAGCTAATTGACCCTGCTTTCGCATTTTTATTGTATCCATGGGTTGCGTGTCGTCGCGAGATGCTTCACATGAGTCAGGTCTCTCCAAGAGCAAACTATCCCAGCGTAAGTAGCATCTTTAACGGAGGAGCCTTTGTTTTCTCTCTGTTCTCCTGTCTGTTCCTTCTTATTTTAGCTATATGTCAGCTTCTTAGCACATTGTCTGAATGATCCGCCTGCATACCTTATTCCATTCGCATGCATTCCGTTTGCGTCGTTGAAATTGATATCCCACGTTTAACAGACAATCTTTTACAGTTAACAATCTTGTTTACTACAATCTTCCTCACCTCCTGTTGCCAGAAAAAGAAGCTGCCAGCTCAGCATTGGTCGCACCACAGCGGACTTCTCCGTCCACGGAACCACCCAAAGCCGAACTATCTAAAGCTGAGCCACCAACGGGACTTGCGCCGGACGCACGAGGAGCATCAGGAGAGGCAGTAGCATCGGCAGGAGCTTCGGGAACAGCCGGAGCATCAGGAACCTTGGTAGTATCAGGAGCCTCGGGAGCACCAGAAGCCTCGGAAGTATCAGAAACTTCTGGAGTGTCAGGAGTTCCGGGAGTACCTGGAGCCTCTCAAACATCAGAAGCCTCGGGAGTCCCAGGAGTATCAGGAACCTCGGGAGTGTCAGGAACCCCGGGAGTATCAGGAGCCTCGGGAGTGTCAGGAGTCTCGGGTGTATCAGGAACATCGGGAGTATCCGGAGTCTCGGGAGTGTCAGGAACCTCGGGAAGCTCCGGCAGCCTGCTGGGCTCCGGAGGCGCCGGGTCGTCCACAGGCAGCGGGGGACGCGGCGCATCCGGCCGTACATTGGAGCCGCCTGCAAATCTCACCATCCCACGGCTGACAGAGGACGAGATCAAATGTGTCACTCGGAATTTCTCCACCGTGCTGGGCGAGGGTGGCTTCGGGAAGGTGTACAAAGGCGAGATGCGGCCTTGTGGTGCTAGTCCCAACGGCACCTGCAGATGCCCCCAGGAGTCCCGTGAGGGAGGAGGAGGTGCGGGTGAGAGGGATGCGGGTGGGAGTGGGGGTGGTGAGGGCGAGGCAGGAGGCGGGTCGAAGCCTGGTGCCCGTGGGATGGTTGAGAGGGACGCGGGTGGGTGCAAGCCGATTCCTGTTGCAGTGAAGGTTCTCGCGCCGCACAGCTTTCAGGGCGATTACGAGTTTATGGTACGCTGGCTCCCCCTGCTCGCTGCTTGCTGTGCTCTTGACTGTCCATGTTCAAACCGTTTCGCTTCGCCCTTGCTCTCTTCATCACTCCCGCATCGCCAGCTACCGTGTTCCCCTCTTTCCCACCCTCCCTCCCTCCCATTCCACCCACTTTCTACCTCCATCCATCTATCAATCTCCATCTATCTCTTCATACCTATATCTCTATCCATCTCTCACCATCCATCTACCGTCATCCCTCCTCACCTCCCTCCCTCCTCCCTCCCCCCTCCTCCGTCCCCCCTCCTCCCTCCGCAGACGGAGCTAGTGACGTTTGGGGCGGTGAGGCACAGCAACATAGTGGAGCTGCTGGCGTACTCGCCACACCCCAGCAAAGCGCTCGTCTACGAGTACATGCCAAAGGGGGACGTGCACGCCCTGCTCACCCGCTGTGAGGCCCCTCACGCATCATATCTCTCACCTCCATCACACCACATCACATCACATCACATCACATCACATCACATCACATCACGTCACATCACATCACATCACATCACATCACATCACATCACATCACATCACATCACATCACATCTCATCACATCACGTCACATGCACAACGCTCGTCTATGAGTACATGAACTGGGACGTGCACGCCCTTCTCGCCTGCTGTGAGGCTCCTCACCCTCAAACCGACCCACCCACCCTCTCTCCCACCCACCCACGTATGCTTCTAAGTTGACTCAAAATGTGCTCGCCAATTTCCAGTCCCTGCACGCTCGTGGTTGGCTGGAGGATTCTTTATCATGTGTGTGTCGTGCTGCTATGGGGTGGGTGGGTGGGTGGCACTGGCAGGCAAGAAGGGAGAGGCAACGTTCCCGTGGGCGGCGAGGCTGAAGGTGGCGCACGAGGTGGCACAGGCAGTTGCGTTCATGCACTCGCTGCGCTACATCCACCGCGACCTCAAGGCCAGCAACGTGCTGCTCGCTCAGGTGGGTGTGCTGTGCTGCTCTCTCAAGTGGGTGGGCTGTGCTGCTCGCTGAGGTGGGTGTGTTGTGCTGCTCGCTTAGGTGGGTGTGCCGCTCGTACAAGTCATTCTGCTCGCATAGGCAACCAAGTCTTGACTTAGGCGTGGTGTGTAGTCAAATTATTCGCGTTGATGGCAACCTTGTCTGTCCTCTTTCCTCCCTCCCTCCGGCAGGACTTCACGGCCAAGGTGGCGGATTTTGGGTTGGCCAAGGGGATAGCGGACTGGCGCTCACACGTCACAACGAGAGTCGTGGGCTCCTTTGGCTACATGGACCCCATGTATTACCTCTCAGGTACATGCCACGTCTTAGACGTTTTGAGTCCTGAGGCAGCGGCACATGAGGTAGATAGTACAAGTAAGGTAGTACATGGACCCCATGTACTACCTCTCAGTTACTACCTCTCAGTTACTACCTCTCAGATACTAATATTGGGGTACTATCTACATCTCACCAGTGAATTAAGGCCTCTCACTCGGCCCACGTGCACGCCAAGAGTGACGTGTGCGCGTTTGGGGTGTTGCTAGTGGAGCTCTTAACAGGCCAGTCCGTGCTGCCTGCAGCACAGCATTCATGAGGACCGCATCCCCACGCTGCTGCACCACGATCACCCCGTGGTCCTGCTCCCCCCTATCCGTCCCTCTGGCGCACCCCTTGTTTCCCTCACCCCATCCCTCTCCCACCTTCCCCTCTCCCGCCTCCCTTTTCCAAACCCCCTTCCCCTTCCCCCCCATCAGGCCATGTGCACGCCAAGAGTGACGTGTACGCGTTCGGAGTCTTCCTCGTTGAGCTGCTAACCGGCAAATTCGTTCTCCAGCACAGCATTCACGAGGACCTGATCCCCACGCTGCTGCACCACGACCACCCCGACCTCGCCCTCCTCGTCCCTACTATCGATCCCTCCCACTTGCTTCCCTCACTCCATCCCTCTCCCACCTTCCACACTTCCACCTCCCCTCCCTCCCCCCTCCTTCCCCCCTCCCCCTCCCCAGGCCACGTGCACGCCAAGAGTGACGTATACGCGTTCGGAGTGTTCTTGGTAGAACTACTCACAGGCAAGTCAGTCCTACAGGACAGCATTCACGAGGATCTGATCCCCACGCTGCTGCACCACGACCACCCCGACCTCGCGCTCCTCGTGGACCCCGCCATCGCCCCCGAGTGCCGCCGCAAGGACGCCCTCGCCGTGGCCTACATCGCCAAGTACGCGCTAATCAAGGAGTGGGATGCGAGGCCGAGCATGCAGTCTGTGGCTCAGAAGATCGGGAATGTAGTCAAGTGGCAGAAGTCCCGCGCTGAGGCTGCTGCTGCGGCGGAGGAGGGGGGAGAGGGGAAAGGGGCGGCAGGGGGAGGGGCGGAAGGGGCTGGGGCAGCAGAGGGAGGGGCAGCAGGGGGAGGGGAGGCAGGCGGAGGGCAACAAGGGGAGGGGAGGCAGGCGGAGGGGCAACAGGGGGAGGGAAAGGAACTGAGGTAGCTGCTGAGACTCCTGGTGCTGCTGCTGCGGCTGAGGTTCAGAGTGTGGCTTGAAGAGGTGACTCTTCTGCTGGTCGGAAGAAACATTGAGCAATGTTCTGGGTTGAGAAGCAAGCCAGTTGATGTTGTGTTTGTGCGTTTGACTGAGCATAGAGCTGCTGGTGCCGGCCCCCAGAACAGGAGCTAGAGAGCCAAATAAAAACTGTGCTGCAGCCCCATTGTGCGTTGGTGTCAATCGTCTCATCTGTCGCCATCCATCCGCTTTATTCAGAGCGTAACAGAACATACAGAAGGAGCGCTCACAAGTCAGGAAAACACTCTAGTTCCCCAGGGAGATGTGTACTGTAATGCGTACCGTCATCGCCCGGATATAAGACATATATGTCTTATCTCGTACACGGGCAAAAATGCTTGGGTTATCTTGTATTTGGGACAGTTTAGGGTGTCTTCTAAGTCTTATAAATGGAAACTTCTTAAACTACTTAGACATATTTTCACACATCCTGAAATGAGTTTCTCATAATGAGTGTGGGTGTTGCGAAGATGCCACTTCGGCAACCACTACCCGCGATGCCACGTCATGGAGAAAACTTGCAGAGGCAAATTTGGTAGTAAATGAGTCAGCACGTGGCAGAATTCGCGCTTCGCAAGGGTAAAAATGTACGCGGTATTTCAACTTTCGCTATAATATATTGAAGTTTCGATTATAAGACATATATGTCTTATCTCGTACACACAAATAGGTGTCGTATAAAAAGGCTAGCCTGTTTATAAGAGACACCCGTATAATAGACAACCCCTGTCTACTATTCAACACTGTCTTATGTCCGGGCGATTACGGTATGCGTTTCAAGCTCGCGTCCCCGTTATGGGTGTCACAACACAACCATTTGAGAGTAGCTAGTCTCCAAGTTGTATTGCAGAGTGCTCCTCAACCAGTAGCGTCAGCCCAATATTGTTGAAAGTTTGAAGCCCGTTTGTTTTCTACCTTCACTAAGACAAATGTGGCAATCTCCATTTTACCTTGAGGATAATGTTTTCTGAACTTGAATGTTTCAGCATTTTCTAGTTCCGAGACACGAACTTTACTGAAAAACGGGTAATTCGTAGTGGGTATATCAGTCTTCATCCTCAAGCCCTGGATAGCCTGACACGAGAATCCCCTGGCAGCAGGAGGTGGGGGGGGATTGAACTTGGTTTTTGCCTTTCAGGCTGAAGCTAGGGTAAGTGGTGCTGATGGTGAGTAATGGTTGGTGGTGGTTGTTGGAATAACCGAAAGGTTATAAAGGCATTCCCGAAGTTGCTCCACTGTACTAGTACCGCATTAGCTCATATAGAGCACGCGGAATCTCGAGGGACACCCGAAGGTCAACCGTCCAAGATAGTCAACGGTCGTGACCCTTGGCGACTCAGTAACCGCGCGACAGTTAACAGACTGCAACACGGTAACTGTCGAGAATAGCAATAGTCGTGGTTACTGTAGCTATGTAATACAGTTAATAAGGGAATGTACCCCTCAGAGTACATGGCTAGATAGTTTGCTATTTAATCACTTGTACTCCTGCTTCTTAATCATCTTGTTCTCTTTCAACTATTATTCAACAAGGTCACTACAGAGACTTCACTGTCTCCTCATAGGCTTGACACATTCTATCCTATCCACTGATCCTCCGGTTGTATCAGCATGGTATGAGAGCTAGAGTGGATTATAGGATCTGTCAAGCCCTTGTTCTTCCTAGATCAATCCTTTCATAAAATCAACTATCGCTTTTTAAGGTCTGCAACACTATGGCTCCTGAAGGAAAAGCCACCGCAGACTTATCGGGCCCACCACCACCAGCAACTACTAACGCGCCATCAGCGGTGACCTCCGTCAGCGCCGCTGTCGTTGAGCAGCTAGCTGCACGTATCAACGCTCTCGAAAGCCATCAGGCTATGAGCATTGATGGCTCAAGCTATGCACGTGGCGTTGCTGGACTTCCTCTCCCTGGAGAAGACCGCCGCGTCAACTCCGAGAGATCCTTCACCTTTGACAATCGTCAAGGGTCAGCTCCTGCACAAGACAACCCACAACGGTCGCAGTCAGACATTGCTTCAATGCAAACCAAATTCGTTCTGACTTCAAAATTGAAGACCTCAATTCCTTTCGACGGAAAGGATTTTTACACGTGGAGCTTCGAATTCGAGCTTCTTGCGACAACCGCTCAGATCTGGATGTACTACGACGGAAGTCTGCCCTTTCCCTCGGAAGGCACCATCCAGGAGAAGCATCAGTACTACCACGAATCACTTCTCGCGTACACCGCTCTCCTTCGCAATCTCTCACCTGAAGAGCAGCTCGGCATTCGTCCGTACAAGACGGAGTGGGCTCCCGCGCACGCATCCTGGGAACACCTGCGCAACTCATACATGGCAACAGATCCAGTTACTATGAGTCGCCTGCTCAGTCAACTAACTTCGGTTAAAATGAAGCAAGGGGAGAAAGCGGGACCGTATGTTAATCGGTGCCGCAATCTGCGCGATCAAGTCAAGAAGTGCGGTGGTTCTGTCCCCGACGACATGTTCATCTCAATGGTCATTTCAGGCCTTGGCCCCGACTGGCGTCAGTGCCAGTCACTCCTTCGAGCCCGAGCAACCATATCGGAGTCGGCTCTGTGCGCCACGCTTCTTTCAGAGCAGAAGGAGATCGACCTGTACAACGAGAAGAATGTCAAGCGGGAAAAATTAGCCTTCTACACAGGAGGATCCCAAGGGGAGCAACGCGGAAAGAAGGGAGCTTTCTGCAAATACTGCAAGAAGTCTGGCCACTCCATCGACCAGTGCTACAAGCGTCAGGCTGCTGATGAACGGCGCAACGCCTCCAACCAGCAACCCTCAGCTCAATCCAAGCCTGCTACCGCAACCTCCACTGTGTCGCCTCCCTCGATCGCCAGCACTTCGCAGTCCCCTGCGGTCATTTCGGCAAAGGACAAAGGGAAAGGGACGGTCATAAGCTGCATGGCTCGCCGCAGCAGAGGGTTCCGCTACTGGGATCGGGATCGAATTTCATTCCCTTCCGACAACCCCACCCCCGTTGCGCCCAGCTCAGATAACGACCCAACGGTCTCTACCTGGTGGACTCGCCCCTCTGACATCCCTCCTGACTTCGAGCTTCCTCCTCCTACTCCGGAATCGCCGCCGAGCATTCCCGCAAGTAGATATTTCGCTCTCTCGCCGTACACCGGCGACTTCGTTTGCATCATTACGCCCAAGATCGCCAACCTTGCCCGCCAGCGCCACGAGGATCTAGACACGTGGTACCTTGACAGTTGCTGCGGGCAACACATGGTGGGATCATCAAAGTTCATCAGCAACTCTCGGCGCATGCGACGACCCTGCGAAATCACCGCGGCCAACAACGGAAAAATGAAGGCACATGAGATTGGGGAGATCTACCTCGAGGCGAATGACACCAAATTTACCATTCACATTGGAGACGTCCTCGTTGCGCCAGATCTCCAATACAACCTTCTCTCATCGGCTCAACTCATGCGGTGCGGAATCGACATTCGCAGCAACCGCAACGAAAAGACCTTCGAGCTCTTTTATAATGACTCTTACATCGGAAAGGCGATCGACGACGACGGAGTCTTCGTGCTGCAGTTCTCGGCTCAGGGCACAACCGGCGATTCCCACCGCACGCTACTTCTAAAGACGACTCCCACGGACGTACCAACGTGGTCACATCCCGACGAGATGGACCTCGAGCGACCCGCCTCTGACGGCCTTCTGCGCTTGCGCACTATCCCAACGCCTCGACCTCGAATCCTGCTGAGACCGGACCTGCCACAATGGAGGAAGACAGTGGCACGTCAGGCCCCACAACACAACCTGCCGAGGAAAACACGCCGGCGGAAACGCGCTGGACAGGCTGGGATACTTCCGAACCTGCACTTGGATCTTGGGGCGAAGTCCTGACTCCAGAGGAAGCGGCCACAAGCGGATGGGGTGCCGTCGCAACGGAAGAAATTGCTGCGACTGGCCGGGAACCTTCCCCTACCCCAGCCGAGGAAGGTGGCACTGGCTGGACTCCTCCTGCCCCATCTGGGGAAGTTGGCGCAGAAGTCAAAGACGCAGCAGTCGGAGAAGCAAGGACAACCGGAGGCACGTGGGGCGCTGGGGGAGGCTGGAGCACTTCGGGCGAAGCGGAAAAGGGCACACCGTAGCAGCCGGCCTTCCCCCCGCGGAAGTCGCCATCGTCGACCCGTACTGGGCAACTCGCGGCACCTGCTGGGGAGGTCCTCCTCTTCCGGATCAGTACGCCCCTGACACACCCGAACCAATGCCAGAAGAGTCAGAGGAAGAAGAGACCTACGAATTCATGGGGGGACCAGCGGAATTACCTGAACCTACCGAGGAGCCAGAGCCGCCGGTACAAGGACCCCAAGAAATTGAAGTCATTGGTGCTGAATACAGTTACTACAGGATCCCCATGTCGGGACTCCCCGCTCGGGACTGGCCCGATCGATGCCTACTTGTCACCGGAGACCAAGCCGAAGCTGGCGATACCGACGACATCATCGGTATTCCCCGCGCGCTTCTGGAGAGAAAAGCAATTCGCGCACTCGCCGCCGAAACGGACAACGCCGCTGACACAGGACCTGAAGGGGAGGCAAACGACGAGGCTGCACGGCAAAAATATTATCAGAAAACAGTCGGCTACCGTGCGGACCCAGCAACATGGCACCAACGGCTTGGACATCCCTCTCACAACACGCTCAAAAATTCGCTCAAGGCTGGAGTCTTCGATGACGAAGCACTTCTCCTTACCCGAGACGGTTCCCTCACCGCGGACTCTCCCAATCCGCCGTGCATCGTCTGCCCGACTGCATCCCTCAACCACCAACCGTTCCTAGACTTACCACCAGGGTACGAGCGCTACAAACCGCTGGATAAGGTCTACAGCGACTTCATGGTACTCAGCCAAGAAGGGCTCGAAGGGGAGCAGTACACGCTAACCTTCATTGACGCCTCTACGCGTTACGTCTGGGCCATCAACACCGACTCTAGGTCACTGGCCTTCGAGTGCTTCATTGCGTGGATGAAGCGGGCCGAGCGATAGTCTGGGCTAAAGCTAAAGGCCTGGCAGACAGACGGAGCCCTGGAGTTCTTCTCGGACGAGTTCAAAGAGCTCTTCAAGCAGAAGGGGATCGAGCACCTGGTGTCTCTGCCCTACGCCCACCAGCAGCAAGGTGTAGCAGAACGGACAAACAGGAGCCTCGCCACGCGGATGAGGGCTCTGATGAAGCAGTCGGCCATCCCAACCAGATATTGGCCATTTGCGATGAATCACGCTGTTCGGCTGCACAACTTGCTGTCTTCGCGAAGCCTCAAGGACAACAACTCTCCTTACCGGGCTTGGACGGGCAGAAAAGCAGATACACGCCTGCTTCGGGTGTTCGGGTGCATGGTACAGTACAGACCCCATACTGCGCGGACGGGAAAATTTGCAGACCGGGCACGATGGGGCATCCATCTCGGAATCGAAAAAGAATTCAAGGCGTGGATCGTACTGGACTACGCGACACACGAGGTGACAAAATCACGTGACTGCATCTTCTACGAGAAGCTGACTCTGCCCCTTTTTAAGGAGCACCAGGAAGCTGACACTCAGCTCGAGAGGCTCTTCGAGGGCCACCGCAGCTTCGCCACGTCACACGACGAAGCTGACCTGGCCGAGGATGCAGACGCACCTGATGTCACCCAGATGGACTCTGCTCCAAACATCCCCCTTACGAGCCAACTCGGAACTCCGACATTCGTGCCCGTACACCAACCCGATCCGGATGATATAACACGCGAAGCTCACAACTACAACAGCGCAACGCGCCGATCACCCGATGCCGAGTTACCACAACCCAACCTGTCGCAAGACACCCTCCGCCTCGGCAACGACAGTGATGACGACGTGGTCGAAGTTACCAGCTCCCACGACTACGACCGTCTTCTCTACGAAAAGACCAACGAAACCGGTCTTCGGGTTCTCGGCCTCGCCGTTGCCGTTCGCCACACCTCGCCCAAGAAACCTACCACCGTCCGCCAAGCCCTGTCTGGCCCCGACAGCGACAAATGGAGAGCAGCCATGGCCGCCGAAATCGTGTCGTTGAAGAAGCGCGGCACCTGGAAGCTGGTCCCACGGTCATCGGCAAAGGGGAGGAAAATTCTCAGCGGCAAGTGGGTCTTTTTTCGCATCAAAACTCTCGCCGATGGCTCGATCGACAAGTACAAGGCGCGCTGGGTGGTGCGGGGATTCGAGCAAACTCACCTGGTGGACTTCACCCTCACCTACGCTCCAGTCGGCCGTCACACCTCGGTGCGCATCCTCATCTGCATCGCCGCCGTCAAACAGCGACCGCTCCGGCAAATCGACGTCGGAAGCGCCTTCCTGTACGCTCCCGTCGATGCCATCATCTTCGTCGAACAACCCCACGCATTCGAAGAAAGCGACGGCGCCGTGTGCCTCCTCCAAAAGTCTCTCTACGGAATCAAGCAAGCTCCTCGTCTGTGGCAGCAGTACCTGCATTCCGTCCTCCTTGAGCTCGGCTTCACTCAACTGCCGCACGATCTCGGAATGTACAGGCGGGAGTCACGGGGAAAGTTCATCCTCCTCGTCGCCTACGTCGACGACCTCCTCTACACCGGGGACGACGTGGAGCTACTCGACCAATTCGAGGCCGACATCAAAACGAAACTTGAAGTCACCGTCAATCACAACGTCACCCAATTCCTCGGCCTCAACGTAACCCAGTCCGCCTCCTCCATTCACCTCTCCGCCGCCAAATACGCCGAAACACTCGCGAAGCGGTTCGCCATCGCTCCCATCAACCTCACTACCCCCTACCGCGCTCCTCCTCCTAACCATGAGCCCAACGCCACGCCACTCTCTCCTAACGACCATCGTCTCTATCAGCAGCAGCTCGGCTGCCTCCTGTTCGCCGCCGTCACGTGCCGGCCCGATCTCTCCTACGTCGCTAGCCAGCTCGCACAGTATCTGAAGCGACCTGAAGGGGAGAATCTACTGGATCTACGCCGAGCACTGCAATACTTCATCTCCACTCCCGACGTCGGCCTCACCTACGAAGCCAACCTCACCGCTACTCTGCAACTCCATGGCTACGTGGATGCCGATCATGCTGGAGATGTTGACAACAGACGCTCCCGCACAGGATTCATTTTCCAACTCCAACCGGCCGGACTCATCTCTTGGAACTCCCAGAAGCAGGAACTCATCGCCCTTTCGTCAGCTGAAGCAGAATTCATCGCAGCTAGCGCAGCTGTTCGCGAAGGTCTGTACCTGATGGAGCTCCTGCAAGAGGCGAAAGTGACGATGAACGGGCATTTCACGTTACTCTGCGACAATCAGAGCGCGATAAAAATCGCGAACAAGCCCGGCTTCGTCAACCGCACCAAGCACATCGGCCTTCGCTACTTCTTCGTGAAGGACGAAATCGACAAAGGGAGAGTCAAGCTGACTTACTGCCCGACCGGTGACATGGCAGCCGACTTCCTGACGAAGAAACTGCCACGTCAGCAGTACCAGCACTGCGCCAACCTCTGTGGGATCACCAAGAAATCCCACGTGGCCCACCTTCTGGAATGAAGGGGAGTGTTGGAATAACCGAAAGGTTATAAAGGCATTCCCGAAGTTGCTCCACTGTACTAGTACCGCATTAGCTCATATAGAGCACGCGGAATCTCGAGGGACACCCGAAGGTCAACCGTCCAAGATAGTCAACGGTCGTGACCCTTAGCGACTCAGTAACCGCGCGACAGTTAACAGACTGCAACACGGTAACTGTCGAGAATAGCAATAGTCGTGGTTACTGTAGCTATGTAATACAGTTAATAAGGGAATGTACCCCTCAGAGTACATGGCTAGATAGTTTGCTATTTAATCACTTGTACTCCTGCTTCTTAATCATCTTGTTCTCTTTCAACTATTATTCAACAAGGTCACTACAGAGACTTCACTGTCTCCTCATAGGCTTGACACATTCTATCCTATCCACTGATCCTCCGGTTGTATCAGCAGTGGTGGTGGCGGTGGTGGTGTGGCGGTGGCGGTGGCGGTGGCGGTGGCGGTGGCGGTGGCGGTGGCGGTGGCGGTGGCGGTGGCGGTGGCGGTGGCGGTGGCGGTGGCGGTGGCGGTGGCGGTGGTGGTGGTGGAGAGTGCTGCTGGGTGGGGGGGCGCCAATAGCCGCATGTTAAAGGCATAATGGACGATCACCACACCCTGCGGGCCGGGGGTGTGGTGTGGCTCCCCTCTTGCCACGTCAGTGCGGGTTCAGCTCTCGGGGTCTCCTCTCAGCCTCACTCTGGAGAAGTGGTGGAAGGCGGTGGTGGTGGTGGTGGTGGTGATGGTGGTGGTGGTGGTGGAGGAGGTGGTGGTGGTGGTGGTGGAGAGCGGTGGGGAGTGGTGGTGGTGGAGAGTGATGGGTAGTGGCGGTGGTGCAGCGGAGGGAGTGTGAGCCCCCTGAGTGAGGGGAGAGCAAGGAAGGGGAGGGATGTTGACCCCAATGGATAAGGCTTGAGAAGGGCAGGGGTTGATGGAACCCCATTTTCTATTTCTCAATTACGGTAACTTTTGGCTACTTACAGCACCACCCTTGCAACAATGGTAGCCCAAGCACAACATGGTTCACACATCCTGCCATGTGACCTTCATGTATCCGTATCTGCTATCCGACTGGCTGATCCCAAGTGCTTGCCACACAGCAGCAGACGCGTCAACATCATTGATGATGCAGGGAGGCTGCCCCGCATGCATCCTGTCGCACCCCGCCCGCGAGTCACACTCGTCCACCACTGTAGCGAGCACGCTACGGCCGTTGGATGCTGAGATCCGTATCTGACGGCCGCAGCGCCTCCGATTGGCAAACCAGCCGGTGGAGAGAGCGACGACCCTCTCAGTGTTGCTGTGGAACCGGCCGTCGCAAGACGAGGCGCCTCCTCCGTCCTGGCCTGGCGTGGGAGTCGAAGGGAGGGAATGAGAAACCACGTGTAGAAAGGTTATTTTTGAGACGTCTCAAAAATAACCTGGCCTGGCTGGGAGTCAAAGGGAGGGAGTGAGAAAGGTGGGAAGCGTAGGAGAGAGTGATCAAGACCTTGTAAGGGAGCAGGGAGGGAAATTGGACTTGAGAGCATCACAGCAACAGGGCGCTTTGAGCACTGGGTCACCCACTCCCACTGGCGTGGATACATTCATGAGACGAGACACAAGTGATGGAGTACCAGTGATTATAGCTTACTTACCATTTCCAAATCCGTTAAGAGTGAGAATTGCTGACGTGGCATTGGTCACAGATGGTGAGCACGTGTACTTGTGGTACTTGGCCAGTGGCTTGCAGCAGTCGGACCTAACCATGGACAACACAGGGTTCAGTATGGGAATTTGAATTAAGAATCAAATTAAAAGTATAATCATCGCACAAAAAAATGCTTCTTCTACATGCAACATAGCCACAAATGTGGATGTGACACTGAGAAGCACGGCGTCTCACATGTGCTTCCAGTTACAGGGGACGAACGCAGGAGCCCGGAAGCTTCCCGACGGCCTGCATGTTCCCCTCCCTTGTTGCTTGCATATCTTCGTTCCCACGGCGGGGTCGTCGCCGCACTTGCCGCTCATGCACGCTAGTCGCCCGCTGCAGTCGGCGTGGCGTTTGCAGCTCCCCCCACATCCTTGCAGCGCGTCGACGCTGCTTATAACGAGTACGGCTGATGCTATTAGGGCGATCAGAATTTGGACTGAGATGTGCAGGCGGGACGAAGTCACCATCGTTAAGGGAAAACATTTGTAACACTTCAGGGATTCTCAGATATGGAAGCGCGGGACGTGCCACTGGATGCGGAAAGGTAAGGAAGCGGCGTGAGAAACAGAGCGTTGGTTACTAACGGTGGTACGGGCATTGCAACCACTATTCCTTGTGCTCATCTATTTTGTAGCACTAAGATCACTAGCAGCAGCTGTTGCACGGTCAGCATTTAGAGGCCACGTAGGCATGCGGTAGGCGCGATTCTCGGCGGCAACCAAGAAATGTATAACCTGACGTCGCCCTTACGATTCATAACGAGCAGCCTGCGATGCGATCACGCGACACATAGGCGAGCGACGATGGTGGGCGAAACGCAGGTATCAGAAGTTATAGCCGTCGCATGCTCGCGTATTGGTGTAAAAGTCGGTTTGGTTTGGCCAGAGTGTAGACTGTATCTACTTAGTATACCTTATATGCATAGAAATGCTCAGAGTGCATGTTTATCATAGCTTGTATCCTCTAAATTACTTCACACTATACGGGGAAATGGAGCAGGCCGCTCCGGCAATCCCACGGCTCGTTGTGGCGCGTCTAGGTCATGAAGCACATAGATAGGATCGGCAGCAAGCCGGGCAGAAAGAGCTTCAAGAAAATCCACGACGAATGAAGAAAATTGTTCCTCGGATAAATGCTCAAGATTGGGTGCGAGCTCGGTTGTGATTTGCAATATCCAAATGTCAAGTGTTGTGTTCACTGTCAGTTGGGGATGGGAACATCAAGCACACAGGAGTACCAGGGCCATTCAGAGAACACCAATGGAGTATTGGGAGTATTGAGTTTGAGGAATTGAGAGTGCATAAAGGAAGATGTCAGCAGACTATTGCACTCTGCATTCGTTACAATCCACTCACCTCCTCGGCACGGCAGCCCTGCAGACAGGCCAATCACACGCAGCGCAGGAACAAGGCGGGCGGCAGGCATGCCGCCCCAGCTCTTGTTGTCTAGTGCCTGGAAGGTGCTGCGGATGGCGGAAGTGAGACGAGCGGGGTGCTGCAGGAACGCCCTGATGAGAGTGCCGTCCAGTGAGCGCAACAGCAGAGGGGTGTCTGGTGGAGGGGGGTGTGGAGTGGCATGAAGGGTGTGAAAATATGCTCTAGGTGACTATAAAAAGTGTTTTGAGACATCTCAAGAACTAGTTTAACATGTGGGTGTGGAGTGGCATGAAGGATGTGATAATATTCTGTAGGTGACTAGTAGAATGCTGCAGAAACGCCCGTACGAGAGTGCCCTACATTGAGAGCAGCAGTAGAGGGGTGTCTGGTAAGGGGTAACATGAAGGGGCTTGGGTTGTGGCACAAAGAAGGGGTGTGAAAAGGATGTAGTCGAAGGGAGTGGGGTTGAATTAAGGGTTAGGGCTGGGATTATGGAATGCAGACAAGACTAGATGACAAGCCAGTGCAGCTGATGCACACCCGTATATGCTGAAACAGATAAGATTATTCGTGGCCTATGGTTCGTTGAAACAGGTAAGATTATTCAACCAACCACAGGCCACACTACCCCTCTCCCTCCCTCACCTTGCAGCGTCTGTCCGACTTGCTTCAACAGTCTCGTCATCACCGCAACAAACTCCTCCCTATCCAGCCATACCTTCTCCCTCTCCCTCCTCGTCCTCCTCCTCTTCCTCCTCCCCGTCACCCCTGCCCTTCTCCTCGCCTTCCGCCTCCCCGCCTCTCCCTCCCTTCTCCTCCTCACCACTCTTCATTCTCTCTCTCGCAACCATATCACGCACCATCCGCTCCCAGTCCTCAGATACGCCCTCCCCAGGCATCCCCAGCGTGTGCAGCTGCTGCACTAGCTTCCGCTCCAACGCCGCCCACGTCACCACGGGCCTGTCTGTCGGGCAGCTAGCGTCGTCCTTAACTTCAGACGCTTCCAGTCCATTTCCAAGAGCATCGTCCCACGTCACCTTCTTGCCACCCCCATTGCAATGCCTATCGGACGGCCCTTCCTCTTTCTCCACTCCCCCTCTCCCACCTTCCCCACCAGGACTGTACAGTGCGAGGCCCTCCATATCAATTCCCTCCGCCTCTCCACTCCTCGAACCTGACACTTTTATGTGCTTCCATTCCCCTCCCCCTCCTGCTCCATCTCCACTATCCGATGTGCTTGTAACGAGTTCCTCAAAGGCACTGTTCAGCCACACGTCCAGACAAGCCCCGCCGTCCGCCTGCACCATCTTGCGCACGCGCCGCCCGTCAAAGAGCTTGAAGCCGGTCAGGGTCGGCAGATCCGCCACTGTAGCCGCAGCAGCATCAGGGTCAACACCAGTCCCCCTCCCTCTGCCGCTGCCGCTATGGAGAGCTGTGGTGCTGCTGCCAGCACAGTTACCCCAGGAGAGGGCAGCGGAGAACGGGATGGAGGGGAGGGACAAGGGGAACGGGCGGAAAAAAGACAAGGAAGAGAACGAGGCGGAGGTCCCTGGAGGATCAGTTTCCATCGGTGCCAGTGGTGATGGCAGCGGCTGTGGCGGTAACCGCGTGGCTTGCAGCTGCAGCGCAGCACCTAGAAAGATGGAGTGCATGAGGGAGCGGAACTCCTCCCGGTCCACAAACCCACTCGTGTCACAGTCGGCCGTGAGGAAGAGCGAGAGGTAGATGCTGTCCGCCTCCTCCTGCGTGGTGACTGCGGGGAGCCCGTAGGCGACTCCCAGGGAGTAGAAGCCGGCGACGACCTCGGAGCGGGAGAGCATGCCGCGATCGGTTTCATCCCAGGTGAGGAACATGCGGTCTGTGAGGCGGTGGAAGAAGGCCTCGTCTGAGAGAATCTGCTTAATGGAAGGGAGGGAGGGAGGGAGGGAGAAGAGTGGGGTGAGGAGAAAGGATGGCGTGAGATAGCAGGTGATGGGTGGAGTATCAGGAGAGGTACATGCTGTCCGCCTCCTCCCGCGTGGTGACTGCGGGGAGGCCGTAGGCGACTCCCAGGGAGTAGAAGCCGGCTAAGACCTCGGCTCGGGAGAGCATGAGCGATCGGAGGCGTCCCATGTGAGGAACATGCGGTCTGTGAGGCGACGGAAGAAGGCCTCGTCTGAGAGAATCTGGTAAGTTGAGGGGGAAGGGGGAAGGGGAGAGGGAGGAGGGGGTGGAGGGGAAGGGGGATCGGGGAGTTTGGAAGGGGGAGGGGGACCATCCTCAGCTCTCGTGTTGCACAAGCCAGCCATTCCCAGCCCGAGCGCACTTTGAGCAGGAAGGCGGCACACGAGGGAAGGATGAAACCCTCGAGCACTGTCTCTACAGCTACTCGAAAATTCCATATATGCATTGCACACCTTGAGCAGGAAGGGGCGGTTGAGGATGGTCATGTTGGCGGGCAGGTAGAGTGGGTCGTCCTCCAGGCCCTGCGCCACGGTGAAGAGAATATCCGCCACCAGCCACATGAACTGCACCTTCGATAGCCCCATGCTGAAATCCACTGCTCCTCCTCCTCCACCACCACCGCCACTGCTGCTGCTGCCCGCGAAGCCTCCGCTGCCGTTTTCGAAAGCCTCTAAGCCCCCTCCAGATGAATCACTCTCCCCCTCCTCCAACCCGCCTTCCTCTGCCTCATTCTCCCCTTCCGCCCCGCCCTCCCCCTCCGCCCCTCCCCATCCCGCGTATGTCTGCAGCAACTCTGTCAAGATCTCATCCTCCTGCTCTGGCGCGGGGAGAGGGGAGTGGGGAGCGGGGAGCGGGATGAGGGGTGGGGAGACGGGGATGGTTGTGGGAAGGAGAGAGGGGCGCGGGGAGCAGTGGAGGGGAGAGAGAGCATGAGAGGCAGAGCTGGGGAGAAGCACTGAGACACGTGGCGCATCACGGGGACAACCCCTTCCAACCCACAGCACACACAGGCACGAGCCAACCCACGGACCCGTGCACCTCAAACCCACACACCCGTGCACCTCAAACCCACAGACCCGTGCACCTCAAACCCACAGACCCCTGCACCTCAAACCCACAGACCCGTGCCCCTCAAACCCACAGACCCGTGCACCTCAAACCCACAGACCCGTGCACCTCAAACCCACAGACCCGTGCACCTCAAACCCACAGACCCCTGCACCTCAAACCCACAGACCCCTGCACCTCAAACCCACAGACCCCTGCACCTCAAACCCACCCACCGGTGGAGATGGGCAGCGGCTGGGGAAAGAGCCCGAGCGCGGGCAGCATGGGGCGAATCTCGTGCATGGTGACGGTGCCGTCGCCGTCCAGGTCCATGCGCGTCCACAGCGCGTCGATGAATTCATCCACCTCGTCCGCGTCATTAAAGAGTTCCCTCAGTGGGGTGCTGCCCTCCAGTAGCCGCGGCAGGGGGTCCTCTGCTCGCAGGGTGTGGAGTAGAGTGGAGGCAGGGGGGTTAGGCGGGATGAAATGGATGGAAATGCGGTAAGATGAGTCCACAGCGCGTCCATGAACGCGTCCACCTCGTCCGCATCGTTAAACAGCTCTCTGAGTGCGCTGCTGCCCTCCAGTAGCCGCGGCAGCGGGTCCTCTGCTCGCAGAGGGGGGGGAGGAGAGTGGAGGCAGGGGGGGTTAGGAGAGGTGAAGTGGATGGAAATGCGGTAAGATGAGCCAACAGCGCGTATATGAATCTTGGTGGAAAGGGGAGAGGGAAGGTGGGAAAGGGGGAAGAGGAAGAGCGTGAGTACCTTCAACAGAATCTTGGGATGCGAGAATCACATCTCTGCAGACACTGACAAACTTTTGCCGCCCAATCTCGCTGCTGAGGTCAGCAGACATGAAAGAGACAAAAAGTCCCTTGACCAAATCATCATCGTTCTTCCCCTCGCCAGGTAAAATTTTCCTCCTTCCCCCTTCCACCCCGCCTCTTCCGCCACCGCAATCGCCGCTGCTACCCCAGCTTCCGCTTCCTCCGCTTCCCCCTCGGCTTCCGCCTCTCCGCCTCTCCCCCGCGCCTGCGCCCCCTCCGCCACTTCCCCCTCCGCGGGCCCCCATGCGGCTGTCCCAGAAGGGTCGGAGAATGAGCCCCTGGATTTCCGCCAAGCGCAGCAGCGCCGGCTTGATCTCGGCCAATGAGAGCCTGCCACGTGCGTGCACGTCAAGCCGGTCGAACTCGCCGGACAGGAACGCCTCGAGTTTAACGGGGTCGTCCATAACGCGGCGAATCTTCCTTCCCGCCAGAACTTCGACCCACGGGCGTTGTGGGGGCTCGTCGATGCTGCTGCTGCTGCGGCAATGCAGCGCTGGGAGGTCGAGCCTCGTCGACATTGTATCGTTGCGTCGGAATTCCCAAGGTTACAAGGTTACAGAATGTACACTCAATAAAAGTTCGCCTCCTGTAAATGAGAAGGTTATCTATTCTACTGAACCAGTGTCAAATTCTAACGCGAGAACGCGAGAAATTCGTTATGGGAAGTGAAGCGGACGCGAGAAGTGCGAGAAGTAAGGCGTGTGAGGGAACAGGATGACGCGAAGCTAACAGAATGAGAGGGATGAGGTAAGACTCTACTAAGAACCGGAAGTTACTGGCTGGACATGTCACGAGCAGCCAGGCCGGGCAAACGATCGTCACGGCCACCTGACAACTGTTCCACCAACTTCAGAATTGCTTGTGCAAGCACAGCTAGCATGATAAAGGGAAACTTGAATGCAGCCGCTTTCGGTGAGGCTGGTGCTGTCGAGTCCTTCCAACCACTGTGAAATCCCAAGGCGACCCAATCACCACCAATCCGACGCGAAAAGTGACGAGGGCGCAGCGCAGGGCCGAAACTCGCCGAGCCCGTGCACACTGACAGTGCAGTGTGGGGACGCGTGGGCTAGAGAAAGCTGATTGGTGTACGATTTGTTTTTCCGATATTATATTTTCGTTTTACAAAATTTGTGAATCTCTGCACAAAATAGAAGGCGCGCATGATGAACTAAAATTCAATGAACAAAGGATTACAACAGCAACAGCAATATACAAATCTTTGTAACAACCCGTTGAATATTCATATTCAGGTCATCCCTTTCTAAGACGAGCTACCACCCGAGGGCCCAAGGGGCCCGCTCGGGATTTAGCCATGGGGCTGGGGTTGCTTGATGCTCCAGATTTGGGCGGAGGAGCAGACAGAGCCCCGCTGTAACCATCTGGCAGGCCGGTAGGCGATGCTGCAGCCGCAACAGCTGAAAGAGACTGGCTCAACGCACGTCCAGGTGAATACACTGGTTCAAATGATGCTGCCAGAGATGGTGGGGAGAATGGTATGTAGACTTGCCCTGCTGGTGTGGACGATGGCGCTGATGTGGCAGTCGTAGCTGATGTGGCAGGTGCTGAATCATCAAAATCCAGCTCATGAGCCCCAGCCACTCTTCCAACCGAGCGGATGTGGAGGAGCAGGCGGCGGAGGAAAGAGTTGTGACCCACCGTTGCTGAGTCAGCAACAACTGCCACGTGGCGCCTGCCACGTGTCACAGCTACATTCATCCTCCGGCGGTCCCCAAGGAACCCAACTGACCCATATGGATTGGACCGAACCTGCAAGAAGAGAGGGAAGAGGAGAGAGAGCGAAAGCAGTGTGAGAGAATGCACAGCCCATTCTCCAGTGGCACTTAACACCCATTGCTTCGCATCTGACCAAGAAGAGATAATCATGGTTGGCATCGGCACGACCCCAGAACTTTCTTACACCACAAAAAAATGATTGCGAGCAGCAGAGGACAACTCACCATAGAAATGATAACAGCATCTGCCTCCCTCCCCTGAAAGCTATCCACACTCGCCACCTCCACCGCCCCCACGTCCCACTCTCCTCCTCCCCCTTCCTCTCCCTCCCCGGCCTCCCGAGCCACAGCATACGGCCAAACAACGCCGCCCAGGCGCTCCTCAAGGCGCTGGCGGATGAGCTGCACCTGGGCGAGGTACGGCGACTGCACGGCGATGGACCCGGGCGGCACGCCGGCCGAGAGCAGACGAGCGACGTGATCCACAACCAGTTGGGCCTCGCCCTCGTTGACCAGTGACCCTGTGCCCGCTGCATCAGGCGCCTCCTCACAGTGCTCGTGCAGCAGACCACGAGGAGAACGCGTGTCTATGAGCAACATGGGATGGGCCAGGAGGGGAGGGAGCGAGGAGGATGAGGATGATGATGATGAGGACATGGAGGCAGCAGGGGGAGGCAGTGTGATGTCAGCCAGGGTGCGGGAGGCGACAGCAGGCGAGGCCATGAGCTGCCCATGGTACATCTCCTCGGAGCTCCAATCCGAGATGGCTCGGTTCATGCGGTACTGCACTCGCAGCATGGCAACACTGCCCCCACACCGCTCCCAACCTCCCTCCACCACCCCCTCTCCCCCCACCCTCCCCAGCAGCCCCTCCTCCTGAATCCTCTCCATGAGCGAAACGCCCAGCCCTCGCTGCTGCGCGTCCACAGACTGCACTGTAGGCGCCAGCTGCCAGGGATCCCCAGCCACCACAGCCCGTCGCCCCAGCAATAAAGGTATCCAGCTAGACGGCTCAGTGGCCTGCCCTGCCTCATCCAGGACCACCAGGTCAAACCCGCCCTCCTTCCTCGCCATCTCCTGAACCACTTTCTCCCCGGCCCCTGTGGTCGTGCATAGTATCACCTCGGCGTCAGCCAGAACTTGAGCAATTTCCTCCTTTTCCCGCTGCTTCTCCACGCGCGCCAGGCGTCGCAGCATCTTCTGCAGCGCGGAGCGCAGGGAAGGGTCGGAGCCGACTGCGCGAAGATCGGACCTGAGGTCGCGGCGGCGGCGGGCAACGTCACGGTGGAAGGAGCGCAGACGGGCGGCAACGAGGTGGTCCAGGGAGTAGGGCGTGACGGTGGGGGAGAGGCGCATGGGGTTGCCCACTCGAGCGACCCTCAGGCCCTGGGAGGCTAGTCGCTCCACCAGGACATCTACTGCTGCATTGGTCGGGGCGGACACCAGCACCCGGTGCTTGCTCCTTCGCTGCTGCTTTATGCGTACGCTTTCCAATGCTTCAACCCCTGTGTTTCCACTGTCTAGTTCTCTGTGGCTCTCCAGCTTCTCCTTTTCCATCCCTGGTTCCTCTGCCCTCCCGCGTCCCTCCCGCACTGCCCTGGCGATGATTTCTGTGACCACGGAAGTCTTGCCCGTGCCTGGGGGACCCTGTATGGCCACAACCGGGCGGGCAGGGTCCAGGGCAAGATGAATGGCTGCCAGCTGGCTTGCGTCGAAGGAGAGAGCGGAGGACGCAGGAGGGGAGGAAGAGGCGGATGTGGAGGCCGGGGAGGAGGATGAGGAAGGGGAGGCGGGAGAGGAGGGAGAGGATGGCAGCGGGGAGGAGGATAGCGACGGTGAAGCAGTGCTGGCTGCATTTCCGGATGCTTCAGGGGTTGCTGGTGGTGTAGCTATTGCAGGGGCAGCAGTGCCGGGGGGGGCAAAGAGGGCAGCAGCCACGGCGCGGGCAGGGCTCTTGGGCTTGAGCGCAGACGTTTTGAGCCGCTCCAGTGCCTCGCGGTTGCGCTGCCAGAGGACGATGGGGGGAGGGCGGGAGGGATGGGCGGGACGGGGGGCGTTCGAGACGAGGGGGGGAAAGACATGAGTGGGAAAGATGTTCGATGGACTGGAAAAGAACATGAAGTGAGTGAGGGGCTGCGCTAGTGAGGTTGCTGCAAGGAGCAGATGATGCTGGCAGTCTCAGAGTGGCAGCAGCGAACTCGACGCTCTCACCTCTTGAGGTGCCTCTAAAAGAGACTCACCTCTTGAGGTGTCTCAAACAGAGACTCACCTCTTAGAGCACCTCAAGCAGATACTCACCTCGAACGTTGTGAAGTCCACAAGCCCCGACACGCGCTGCACTCTCAGCGCCACGCCAAACAGCTCCTGCAGATACAGCGGCGATGATGCCCCTCGCCCACTGCTGCTGCTGCTGCCGCCCTCCCCTTCACTCTCTGACCCACTTGTGCCCGCTCCACTGCGCATGCTGCTGCTGCCCACACCAAGCTTCCCGTCCAGCGCAACCACGAGGCTCTGCCCATCCTCCCCCAACTCGTGCACATACCCTCTGTAACACACAGCAGCCGCAACTGCAGCAGCGGTCGCCGCCTCTGCAGCAGCACGTGCATCAGCCTTGCTCCCACTACCAACGCGGCTGCATTTGGACCAATCAGGGGAGAGGCAAATGGCGTCGCCCGGGGAGAGAGTGGAGGCAGACAGGAGGCCTGCACTGGGGGAAGCGAGGGTGATAAGATACACGCCGGCCAGCCCAGTAGACGTGCCCACAGCGACCAAGTCTGTCAGAGTACCCCCCTCTCTCGCTAGCCCTCTCTCCACCTCGCCTCGCTCCTTGAGCTTTCTCCGCGCTCTTGCGCTCTCGCTCATGGTTTCGGACTCTGGGCGATTGGAGGGGGTTGTTGGCTGGGTGTTGCTGATTTCAGCGGCGACTGCGTCCAGCTCAGCGTCTCGCTCCAATTGGAGGAGCTCCGTGGCCGTTGCCACGTAGGCGTTGATTCGCTGCTGGGCGGCTTGCAGTGCGGAGGGGGAGAGGAGGGCGGCAAGGTTTGTCTGGCGCGTCTGGGAGGCAGCGGCGGAAGCGGCGAGGGTGCTGATTGGCTGGCGAATGGTAGCCCGATGTTCGCCAGATCGCATGAGCTGTTTCAGAAGGTCCCACGAAGCACTCTCGTTCCATGCCTTCACAGCAGCCTTGCCATGCCCTTCCTCTGTACCTTCCTGCTGTGCATGTCGTCTCTTGAGCTCCGCCTGAAGCTCCCGCTGAAGGTGGTCCAGGACCGTGGGGTAGTGATTCATTGCCACGTGGCACCGCTGCTGCTCGCCATCTGGCATTGGTTCCCTGTTAAGGAGGAAGACAGACGAAAGGGAGAAGGGGGGTGGATTATCAAAGAGACGCGACAGTGACTCCCATCCGTCCATCATGAGTGTGCCGATTGAACATCAAGGGTAAGTAACGAGCACAAGGTATTGAGTTCAGCCCTATGGCATCACTCACCTCTGCAGGCAATCCTGCGCCAGCGCCAACACCGCCATGCTTCCGCCAGCAACCACCCCCTCCAACCCCTCCTCTCCGCGCGCCTCCCGCTCCGCCACGTCCTGCGCCATCCGCGCCATCCCGCGCGCCATCCACTGCACGACGGCCCGCCCCAGCACTCTCTTCCCGTACGGATCACCCGCGTTCTGCGGCACTTTCCCCGCGCCGGTCACGTCAGCTGCACCAGCCGAACCAGAGTCACTGGCATGGGCGCCGAACCGTAACGACGAACCAGATTCCGGGGACAAATCACCCCCAATGAGTCCAGTTTTCCACGCTGAATCATTTCCGAGAAGTGCTGCTAGATTGGCATCGGAGTTGCTGGTGTGCGCATCGTTCCCCTGCTCGCCTTCCTCCCGCGCGTCCTCTGGAGTAGCTGCTAGGGACGTGAGAGCCGCGATGAACGCCGCATCCGACGTTTCGCTGCTGCTGGATCGCTCATTCCGAAGAGCCTCGTCAACGTTTGCTTTACTAGTAACCCTTGCGCCTGTTCTTCCTCGCACTTCGTTTGCTCCCGCTTTCAGCTGCAGATGGTGACACGGCAGACGGTAACGGAAACTGAATCTCGGACGTTGGTAAGGAGCTATCGACGGAGTGAACAGCAGTGGCGGAGTTGACAGAAGCAGTCTCCGCGCGAACACCGCTTCTGCTCGCGTGACGGAGAGGCTTACAACGAAGCGCAGCTTGACCGGCGGAGAGCCGAGAGCAGCGAAGGCGTCTCGAGGCCGGGGTGAGAGAGAGCGACGCGGCATCGAGGCGAATGTCGACGCGAGACGCATGGCCGAGCGATACTGAGTCCGGAATGGCGGCTCCTGTCGCCCGAGGGGCGAGGGGAATATCCGACAGTGAGAGAGCCATGACAAGAAGCGGAAGAAGCCCTGGACTCCAGTGAGGCGATTACGTCCCGGCGATTGTGGCTTGAACCGATTCCGACCGTTATAAATGACTCAACTAATGCCGATAGGACGTTTGAACAAGTCCCAGCTATCTAGCTCTCCGCGAGTTCACTCAAAATTCTCCTGCTGGTGCTTCGTGCTCATGCCGTGTGGGATAAAAAGAGAACTTCACATACACTTGTCATCAGGATTGCGGTAGCTCTGCGTGCCAGATTCCGCCACAGCGGATTCGGAGAGGAAGAAAATCCTCTCGTGCCGAAGCCTTGCGATGTCAGACTCTTGGGAATGGAGGAATGCGATGCTCCCAAAGCAGACACGGAAAGAAGACGCAATCAAACGCGGGAATGGAGGCAGAACTGCCTGGAACAGGAAGGAGGGGATGAATATGAATGGGTGGGAGGCGGACAAGCAGCGAAATCTCCACCTTGAAATTGCCGAAGGGAGACTCCCAGGAAGGGTGGTCTATGGGCCAAACCAATCAGCAGACAGGTAAGGCGGAGGTTTGCTATACCGAGTGGCACGCAAACGAGGATGGGAAGCGGCTCAACCAATTGAAGGGGGTAGACGTCTTCGCTCGGTGCGAAACGGCAGCGTACCCACGTGCGACCACAAAGGCAGATGGGGCCAGCGAAGCGATGACGTGGTCGCGAAAGAGACCGCGAACTTGAGGCAGATGCGAAGGCCCCAGCGAAACCGCATCCGCTGGTTGCATCAAAGAAAGCTGGCTCGCGAGGTATACACGGCGAACGCGTGGGCCAATCAGCCAGAATTCAGTGTGGACAGACGGACGATGTTACACAGGCGATATAAAAAAAAGCAGCACATGAATAAAACACGGAATTTACTGATAACCATGTTGTTGCAAGTCAAAAACAAAACAAATCGGGTTGTGCTGATAACCATGATTTCATTCCACCCAGTCAGACAGTTTTTGCTAGTAACCACCGTCTCCATCATCCTCGTCCTCCTCGTCTTCTTCCATTTCCTCATCCCTCCCCATCCCTGAAGTACTACCTCCCCCACCACCACTTTGCCTCACAAACTGCCCTTTCACTCTCGGCCTCATTTCCGCAAGCCGCTTCCGGCTCACATACCGAATTTTCTTTTCAAAGCACCTGTCCTTACGCTTTTGCCTGAACTTGCACAGCGCTGCCTCCCTCCTATCATACATCTCCACTCGCCTATCCACCTGCAACCCTCCTCCCCCTGACCCAACACCACCTCCCACTTCTCCGCATCCTCCTAAACCACCTCCCGATGCAGCTGTTGCAGCAGCAGCCGCTGCCGCAGCCATAGACGCTGCAGAGAAATGCATTCCTCCCCCCTGCCCCGGCCAGGGGTAACCCCCTGCCCCACCATCCGCTCCCGCACCTGCTGCCAGAATGGATGGACCCGCCGCCATGTCAGCAAGGTGCCCTGGCTGTGTGGCAGGGTGAAAAACCCCCGGGCCAGCAAGTGACGGTTGGGGAGGGGAGATTGCAGAGAATAACGAGAACGGGTTGTGAGGAGGGATGGGCATGGCTTGAACCGAGGCCACTGCTGCTGTTGAGGTTGAGGGGAGAGGCCCTGCACTGCTGGTCCCTTGCAGGTCATGCGAGAACATAGAATGGGTCGACGGGGGAGTAGGACGAGGAAGGGTCGACATGCCAGTTGACATGTGCAGGTTGGCAGTAGTTGCTGCAGCCGCAGCTGCTGCTGCCGCTTCTGGAGAGAGGTGAGGGAAGGCTGCGGCAGTTGCAGCCGCAGCGGCAAAAAACGGGTGGGAGTGATGCTGCGGGTGGTTGAAGTGAGGGGTCTGTGTCAGCTGGTTTCCCGGCAGGGCGGCAGCTGCAGCGGCAGCGGCAGCAAGGGACTGAGCGAGGGGATGCTGGGGGGGGAGCCCTGAGGCCGCTGCTGCAGCTGCGGCAGCAGCAGCAGCGGCTGCTATGTGTGGTGGCAGGTGCTGAAACGGCGGTGGCAGGTTCTGCTGCTGGCTTTGAGGCAGCATCTGCTGGTGAGTCTGCATGTGACTAGCGAATGGAGGGAGCGTGCACGGGAAGGGAACGAGCGAGGAGGATGGGCGGTCCGAAGGCGCGTTCAAGGGGGGGTTGAGGGAGTCAGGGGATGATTGTAACTCCTGGTTGAGAGTGTGAGGAGGGTGGAAGTTGAGGAATTGCAGAGGATGGGAGAAGGGGAGGGAGGGGAATGGAAGAGGCGCGGAAGGCTGGTTCGGAAGCAGCCCTGCAAAGGGGTGGGAGGAGGACGGGGTTGCAGTGGCAGCGGCAGCAGCTGCCATAGCAGCGGCTGCTGCAGCAGTGAAGCCATCAACGCCAGGTGTGGTGCTGGTGGGACCAGCACCTCCAAAGACTGAGCTGCTGTCCCAAGCAGGACCCATGCCTGTGCCTGTGCCTGTGCCTGTGCCGGTGCCGGTGCTGCCCCACCAATTGGACGACGGCAGCTGTCCGCCGGTCATGCTGCTGCCAGCACTGGCCAAGGTGCCTGCATGTGCCGGCACAGGATTGTACGCAGTGTAGTCTGTACGGCTGCTGCTGCCACAGCCATTGCCGCACATGTCCTGTGCCTGCAGCGCCTGCAGCTGCTGAGTCACCTCCCCTCGACCCATTCCCCCTAGGCTCGCCCCCCTTCCGCCTCCAGTTCTGCTTCCCCCACTGCCCGCCACAGCACCTCCCCCAGACGCCCCTGCAGGGGAGCCGTCCTTGCCTCGCCCAGTGGCAGGTGGTTTCACAGACTCTCTACCTGCCATGCCTCTCACGTCTCCTCCTGGCGTAGGCGGCTTGTGCAGAGAGTGCAGCGAGATGGGAGGCGGGGGCTCTGCTGCTCTTGCCGCTGCACATGCGGCTGCTGACTCTGTGGGTGCTACTGCTGCGCCTGGACTCGCCTCGCCTTCCCTGCCTGTCTCCCCCTCTCCTTCTGCCTCTGCATCCTCGACTGCCCCATCTGCCCTCTCTTCTCCTCCACTTCCTCCACCGCCTCGCGCTGCACCACAGCCATCGTTCCTGCGGTTTGCAGCGCTCGGCAGAGGAGCATCTGGTGCGGCGAGGAGCGCGCTGAAGAACCCTTGCTTGAAGAGAGCCGCACGTGTGCCAGCAGCAGCTGCAGCCTCAGAAGCAGCAGCAGCAGCAGCAGCAGTAGCAGCAGCAGCAGCAACAGCATCAGCATCAGCATCAGCAGCATTTAAGCCACCAGCAAAGCCAGCAGAACCAGCAGCACCAGTACCAGCGCCAGCAGCACCAGTGGCAGAACCAGCAGCAGCTTTGGGTACCACGGCACCACCAACTCTGGGGTCAGCACGAGCAAGAGCGTGTGCACCAGCACTAGCAGCGCTACCCGCCAAAGTGCGGGCAGCAGAGCCAGTGGCAAGGGCAACAACACACGCACCAGTAGCAGGAGATGCAGCAGCAGCACCGGCAGCAGCAACAGTGGCAGGCAATGGGGCAAGAAATGCGGGCGGAAGCAGCGGTGGTTTAGAACCTCTGGGTGCTGGAATCGAGCCGAGAAGCCAAGGAAGAGCAGGGCCATTAGGAGTACAGGGCAGGGGCGGCGCAGTGAGACGCGGCAAGGGCTTGTCCTGAGTGGAGCCCTTGTCACGAGGGGTGAGATGCATGGGCTGTGGGCGCACGAGAGACGCACTCAGCGCATGGCCTGTGGGAGAAGCGCCCTCCACCATGGGTGCTGCTGGTGCTGCAGCGGTTGGTGCAGCAGCAGTTGTTGCTGCAGTGGTTGGTGTTGCAGAGAGTGCAAGAGCACTGGTGGTTACGAGCGCTGGCAGAAGTGACCTCACGCCTTCTGCTGCTGTGCAACCGTCCACTGCTGCTGCTGCTGCTGCGGCTTCAGCCCCTATTGCTGCTGCTGGTGCTGCTGCTGCTGGTGGTGCTGTTGTCAGCTCGGACAGGGCAGCATGACCAGCGGTTGTCTGGGCGGCGGCGGAGGCAGAGAGAGCAAGGCGTGCTGCTGGCTGTTCCCGAATAGCCGCAGACACACCTAAATTAAGAAGCAGGGACAAAGTAGACCCACAGATCAGCAGGAAAGAAAATGATTGTTCGATGCAAGAAGCGAAATGAGGATATATAAGCAGTGCTTGGAGCAGTTGGACGCACTCAATGCAGGGAGTGGCTTACCTGGTAGCGTTGTGGTAGGAGCAAGCGTGCTGAGATTTATGGAGCAAGTGAGCAACGAGGCGTTGAGAGAAGGTGCGGATGGGCGCGAGGAATTAACTGGGGCTGCAGAAGCGAGCAGTGGAGCGCTGGTGAAGGGAGAGCAGGCAAGCAGGGATGCGTTGAAGGGAGTAGAGACGGCGAGTGGTGCTGAGATGTTGATTGCAGAAGGTGTGGGAGGAGGAGGGAGGAAGGGCGGAGGGAGAAAGGGCGGAGGGAGCAGTCGGCCAGTGAGAGGTGGCATGAGAGAGAGCTCGAGGTGCGGTGATGGCTGCAGGGACGACACGAGGGGAGGCAGGAGAGGAGCAACAAGGGAGACTGATTGTCAAACCGCAGATGGTAAAAAAGAGGGGAAAAGAGAAGCTGTTTTGCAAATGAGTGGAGGGAAATGAGATACGGCAGAAGGGAATCGGTTATAGCAAGCAAAGTGCAAAAAAGGGAAGCAATGCGGAATATACGAGCTTCAGAAAGACAGTCGAGAACTCATTGCGAGTCACATACGGAATAGAGGCTCACCTGGCGACCCCTTGGATCCGCTGCACAGGCTTGTATCCCCTCATTCCGGTCGTCCTTTCTTCCCTCCATTTCGCAATCGCCACTAGCAGCTACCGCAGCAGCAGCACCATCGTCATTCTCGTTACCCATCGCATGTCCTCCTCCCATCCGCCTCCCGTTCTCTTCGTCTTTCCCCAACTGCCGCGCCTCGTGTGACACCCCCTTCGCATTCTCATCCTCCTCTCGCCCATTATCGCCTGCCTGCTTCACTCCACCGCTCCCAACCGCATCATCCACCTGCAAGCGCCTTGAGGCAACCGCCTCACATGCTTCTCTCACCGCCTTATTCCCTTCCCCAACTCTCTCCCCTTCGCCTCCTCTCCTCCCCTCTCTCCGCACCTCCTCACCCTTCTCTTCCCCGCCCTTCGCCTTCGTCCTTCCTCCGCCTCCCCCTCCACCTACTTTTCTCCCCTCTTCTGGTTCCGTTTGTGCGCGCACCACTTGTTCTCTGCGCGCAATACGACCCCCCTGCATCGCCTGTGCGTCTCTGCGGCTATTACCCTGCGCGCCTGGCTCTTTGTTGACTGAACCTTGCCTGTCTCCATAGCCTGCTGCTGCTGCCTTCCCTCTGGCAACCGGATTCATTTCCTCCTTGCGCACCCGATCCTGCTCTTGCTGCTGCTGCACCTGTTGTTCCTGCTGCTGCAGCTGCTGTTGCGGTTGTCGCTCAAGTTCTTTTTGCTGCTGCTGCTGCTGGTCGTGCTGTTGTTGGTGCTGCGGCTGCCTCTGTTTTTCCTGCTGCCTCCGCAACAAGAGCTCCTGCTGTCGATGCTCCTGCCGCAGCACCTGCTCCTGCTCCTGCCTCCACTGCTCCACATCCTCCTCCTGCTGCTGCCGCCACTGCTGCTGCTGCTGCACCAACAACAGCTGCTGCTGCTGCTCCAGCTCCTGCAGCTGTTGCTGCTGCTCCTGCTGCTCCTGCTGCTGCTGCAGCTGCTGTTGCTGCAGCTGCTGCGTGCTGCTGCGGCGAATCTCGTCCGTCTCATCGGAGAACAGGTCCGTGCTGCCAGTGCCAGTGTTTGACTCACTCGTGTCGATGAACACGAAGTCGTGTGGCAGGTCGTTCATGCTCACAGGCACCAGGTTCTGAGGTCGCTCCGTCAGACCGAACTGCAGGAGAAATAGCGCACATAAAGAGTTGTTAGCGGGGAGTGCTATTGCGCGTACGAATGCGCATGTGATGCCCATGGGAGATAGCCATAGGGAGAGATGAGGGGAAATGGCGAGATGTTGGGCGCATGGAGTGAGAATGCGTCGAGTGAGAAACACAATTGAGGTGTTAATGGGCTGTTTCGACAGCATGTGTGACGCACAGACGGCAACGTTGGCGCGCACCTTGCAAGACGCCTGCTTGACGAAAACAGAGCCATGAACGCCATCCATATCATGCAAGCATCACAGGGAAGGGGAACAACGTGGAATTGAACAAGAGCACGGTATCGCGATCAACTTATGACACTGTTTTAGCTGCACGAAACGAATCTTTAGAACCAAACGCAGAGTAAAGAATGTAGTACCAGCGACACGGGATGAAACGCGAAAGTAGCCATATGTGCGTCTAGAGGATAAGGAGCTTCACGGCAACAATTGAGTCGAACCAAAACTCATCCCATGATGATGGCACACGGCACACGCTGGGTCGACTCAACAGCATCACTCACGGATCGGCGGCGGCGCCACATGTGCGTCCAGAGGTTGAGGAGCTCGTTGGTCCGCAGGGGCTTCACGAGGAAATCCGCCGCGCCGAGACGCAGGCAGCGCACGACAATGGCCATCTCGTCGCGCGCCGACATCACTGGTGACGCACGCACGGACAAAAGAGAGCGCGACAAATAGCGCGGGCATTAGCAGCATACGGCGCAGCGTGAGGACGAAGACCACGAAATTACGAGGAATCACGCGCGGACACAAAAGACGATGCCTGCAGAAGGCAGAGTTTGAAGAATGCATCAACAAGAATAGCCGAAGGACCGACGCGTACAATTCCGCTAGTTTGAAAGATAATTACCGACAGCGATGCGGCAGCACTGCACTTACTGACTATCGGAATCTTCCGAAGGCGCTCTTCGCGCGCGATAAGCTTGAGCATCTTCATGCCCTTGCCGTTCGGCAGCTCCACCTCCGCGAGAATTAAGTCGATCGCCGCCGTGCCTGACCGAAGCAGCTGCAGTGCTGATCGAGCGTTCTCCACAGCCGTCACTGCAAGAATGTCGGCAGCATTGGGAGTGATGAGGAAGAGAAGCAGCGTCGAAAAAAGGCATCGAGCGAGGAGGAAGGTTATCGACTAAGAAAGACACGGCTCGAAGAGGAAGGTGCGGAGACCAAGGAACTTGTCGGACACATCAAAAGTTGTCGCGCGGAAAGTGCAATGGCGGACTGATTGGCTTCATTCATGATGTCGAAGTCACTCCTTGTCATAATGGACTATGACTATGTCGAGTATATCGCTTGCCTTGGTATGAACAGCTCCGGAGTAGCTCCAACACGCTGCTTCGCGAATCGCTGTCCTTATCCGACAACAATATGTGCACGCTGCTCCGCTGAAACGTCGCCACGTCACATGGACGCTGCTGCTGCGACGGCTGCTGTTGCTGCTGTTGCTGCTGCTGCTGCTGCTGTTGTTGCTGCAGCAGCAATGGCCGACTTGAAGAATTTAACATGACTATTTGTGTCTAGGAGCAATCTGGTGACTCAAGGACTCCGTATGGATGCGGAAATGGTCAATGCGCAAGAATTAGCGATGCAGAACTGTTGACCACCCGAATTACGTACTAAAATCTCACTATCGTACAAACTTCACAAGTCAGCAATTAACACCACTGAACAGCTACAAAGGTAGACGCTTACGTATTGATTGGATCAGCGCACATGGGTAGTATGTTAGCTTCTGGTCTCTCATTGCGGAGTGAAATACTTGAGCTGGGGTATTGTTCTCCAAATTGAGCTTCTATTCTGCGACCTCGGTGACTTGCAAATCCCCTCAACTCTGCGTATCTTTCTCTTGCACGACGCATCTATCTCGAGGTTGGTTTGAAGCACTGGAGCCATTCAGTTGGAGCAAAACACCACAACTGAGTAGCAGCCATGAGAAACCCTTCCCATGCCCAGTGGTCACGGCAGGCCACGCACACACACACACCCAGCAGCAGCAAAAACGCTATCCCCTGCCCCTGGTCCTCTGTCTAAGCTGAGATGAAGAGTCCTGGGACTCCCGAGTTCCGACTTTTGAGTCTCCCGACCTGCCAGCGATGCTGCTGCTAGCAAGCAACAGCTGACGGGATCATCACAAAACAGGAAAAGGCAGGATTCTAGGCAGGCATTCTGACCGGAAATATCTTCGGGCTGGGACCTTTTTCCTGCTGAAGGCAGTTCAGAAAGTTCGACACTTTTTCGGGGAGGGAGTAAATATCGCGGAAAACAATCCGTGGCTTCGGATCGCTGTTTTGAGGCTGAATGGTGTGCAGTTCAAGGCTAGTTGTCCACTATGTTATCCTGCAAAAGGTACACAAAATACTCCATGATATATTTAAACGTCTTTTGAAATGACATCAATCTGAATGGACACGTACTTAATCAGGGCTATCCCTCGAACTGAGCTGCGATAAATACTTTTCGCTAGCATCTGGTGGAAGGGTATGACGAAGGGTGCATCATCCACGCCGTAGGCAATTTTCTCTTGCATGGAGTTTGAGAGATCATCTTCTCTTGCTGCTTTGCTGGCAATGCGGTGTGGTCTGTGTATGTGGTGTGAGATTCTTTTGTTTACAATCTCGCAAGTACAGATTTGTGATTTCTAGCACTGTTTTTAAGAGGAGTTATTAAATGTTAATCGTTAAGGAGGCCCTTTAGTGTGCGAGGAAAGTCTCCCAATTGAAAGTGGGAGTGTTTGGCTAAACAATCATCGCGGTCGATTATTCACAGGAAAAATAGGTGCCTGAGGTAACACACTGATAGGGGTCCGAACCTCAGAACGTAATTCCAGCCTCACAACAACTCCTGACCTCAAACGATGGCGGTGGAGCGATGTTTTCACCACCCACGCCACATCAGCGTTCGTCCCCACAACAAACACAAAAAGAAATCTGGACCACATGAAAAGCGGAGGTCCTATCCACAATGATGTTGCCTGACGCAGAAATATCACGCCACAGCTCACCTTTTCCCGATGACAACCAATGACGAGGGTTTCGGGTCAGGAGCCATGCTGCCCGCTGGATCAGATGGGGGGGCAACGGCCATCTGGGAGCCGCCTGTCACGTGACAGAACCTAAGCAAGGATGCTCGCTGATTCGCCCCGCCGCTGCTTCTGGATTGCCGAATGTTCGTGCGCGCATGGGGTCCTTTGCGCGCCCTCTTCTTCCTCCGCCTGTTTCGCGTTTTTTCCTGCGGACCCTGGCGCGCGCATCCTCCAACTGAACCAGCCTCCCCGCTTCCTCACAACTTCCCCCTCCTCGAGCGCCTCAATTCCCAATGCGCTTCCGCTATTTGCACGAACCAAGTGGAGTAAAACTTATACGTAAATTGCACCATTCTCTTCATGCTGTACACCTGGTACGGCGTAAAGTGTAAAACGGAGTATTTTGCAAAGCAGTAACTTTATTCCCCCGCGTTTCACACGGCCACCGTAGCCACGGCCGCTAGCGTCGGTGCAGCAGCCACTGCCAGAAGTACGGCGATGGAGGAGGAGGAGGAGGAAGTGGCGGTGCCCGGGTATGTGCGCGATATCGAGGAGCTGTTGCGCGACTTTGTGAACGTAAGTAGTTCTCCGGCGGCCTTTTCATAAGATTATTCCACCATGTGGTGAGAGATCTGACCAGCATCCAGCACCACTTTCCACCTCTATTAGGTCAATATGTTCGTTAATAAAGCTGCAGCGTCTCTACCCCCCTTCGCAGCGCGCCGATCCGTCGCTGGCGGCGTTTAAAGCCGTGTGGCGTGCGCTCCGCTTCTCCTTCGTCCACGACGCGTGCCCTAAAGACATCGACCCACGCAGCTTCTTGCAGCTGCTCTACGGGACGGCCTTAGGTGAGCTCTTACAACGGCCTGATTTGAGAGGCTAGAACGGCTTTTGAGTGAGCTGTTAGGGCAGTTTTCGAACGGCCTGAAATTAGGCTGCTGGGACTCCCGTGACTTCGCTTGTCGGTCGCAGCTACCAGCATCACCAGCGCTACTAAGAAATGGACTAACGTCGCTGCAGGGTTCTTGCAGGCCGTGCCATCCGGCTGCCAGGCGTCCTCCACCCATCGCTCATTCGCCCCTGACGCCGCTGCCGCCCATGCTCCTGGTACTACTGCTGCGCCTGCTCCTGCTGTTACCGCTTCTGCTGCCGTTGCTGCTGCTGTTGCTGCTGCCAATGGTGCTGCGGATGGAGCTACACCGTGTGACGCAGCAGGGGCTGTGCAGCTGGGCCAAGGACGAGATGTCAGGGAGGGAGTTGCACAGGAAGACGGGGCGCGAGAGGAGGAGGGGCAGAGGGGGGAGGAGGGGAGGAGAGGGGAGGAGGGTGGTGTGTTTGTGGGAGAGCGTCTGCTGGCAGCAGTGGGTGTGGTGTTCACTCTTTACTGCCTCTTCCACACTCAGCGCACCGCGCCCTATCCGCCCACCCTCATCTACCTGCCCCTTGGTGAGCGTGAGACTACCCTGCCCGTTCTGTTCAGGAGGGTTTCCATCCTTGTCCGTGTCTGTGCCTGTTGCTCTGATACCATGACGCTGTTGAGACCCTGATGTTACGAGACGCCAGCATTCCATGACGCCATGACTCCACCATTGTAGTCCAAACGCTCTTCCCCACTCCAGGTTTCAAACCCCACACCCCTTCCACTCTTCCCCACTTTTCCCTCTTCGCCTAGTGCTCCTCTTTCCCAGGAGCAAGAGGCCCCCACCCCAAGGCATGAGATTCGGCCACTGCCCTAAAAAAATTTCACATGTCCTTCCTGGCCGGAAGTTCCTGGTCCCCCAACTTTTCTACCTCCTTCCCTTACCCGTCTTCCCCGCAGACTCCCTTCGTCTGTTGCTTCTCTTTGCCCAAGAGGCACCTCGCCACAAGGCATGGGACGCCGTTGCTGCCCTGCAATCACTCTTCTTCGGGCCCCTCTCTTCCCTTCCCTCTGGGCCTCCCCCTGCCGCCTCCTCCTCCTCCCCTCACACTCTCGCTCCTCCCGCAACGGCGTTTGTGGTGGGAGCGGTGCCGCTGCCGCAGCAGCTGCAGGCGGGGATGCAGCAGAGGGCGGGGCAGGCCAGGAGGCTGGTGGAGCAGCAGTTGCGCGTCATGAAGCACAAGTGAGTGGCACTGGCAAGTGTGGGTGCGGGGGTTGCGTGTGTTGGAAGGTTAGGGGAGGGACGGGGGGGTGGAGTATTGCTAGCATAGCGGCTGCAGGTGGGAGTGTGCAGCAGAGGGTGGTGCAGGGAAGGAGTTGAGCCGGCTGGTGGACCCACTACCTTGAGAAGCCGCAAGCCTTCTTTAATATTAATATTGCACATCTCACCCTGGTTCTATTTGCATGCACTTATCCGCTTCCTACTTGTTCTTACCCACTCACATCCCTGCCAGGCTATTTGCCCATCTCCCCATCGAACGACACATCCAGTCTGATGCTGTAAGATACTGCTTCACCTGGGCCCCCCCCCCTCCCTCTCCCCGCCATCAACCGCACCCGCCACCTGCCCAAACTCTCACTCCTCACCGTTCTGTTTTTCTTTGCCTCGCCTCGCCTCACCAATACTCAAGCATGCATGCTCGTCGTTCACCCCTCGCTGTGCGCCCCTTGCCTCTGTGCACCCCTTGCTTCTGTGCGCCCCTTGCTTCTGTGCGCCCCTTGCCTCTGTGCACCCCTTGCCTCTGTGCACCCCTTGCTTCTGTGCGCCCCTTGCCTCTGTGCGCCCCTTGCCTCTGTGCGCCCCACATGCCCACAGGCGGAGGCACTGGATGTGGAGCAGGCAGGCCGATGCAGCATGCTGGTTCTATGACAACGCGCATGCATGCGTGCTTGTCACTCACCCGTCCATCTGCGCCCCTTGCTTCTCTGCGCCCCGCATGCCCACAGGCAGAGGCACTGGATGTGGAGCAGGCCGATGCAGCATGCTGGCTCTATGACAACTCCCTGCAGCGACTCAAAACATGTGAGTACCATAAGCTTGTGAGCAGCAGCTCAGGACCTGCTATTAAGGAGCTTGTGGGATTTCTCGAAATCTCCCTGCTGTCTGGCAAATCTCTGCAACATCCACATTCTTCCAGAAGCTTGTGTAGGCGGCACACATTCTTCCAACCTATTTTCACTCTCCCTCCTGCAAGCTTGCTTTTTTCACACCAACTTAAGTGTGCCAATCTCTCCTGTTCACTTATCCCGACTGCTTCCAGGCGGCTTGCTCACAGAGGGCGCATCCTTTGCTCAAGAAGGCGAGCTGGCAGCTGTCTTTTCAGCCTACCGCGCAGCAAGAGAGGCAGCTGTGGGAGCGTTGGAGGAGAGGGGAAAATAGCCGGCCGTTTGGGGGGGGGCTTAGCATTGAGTGGACTCGAAAGTTCCTCTTTTATTAGTCTCTCATACATGTGTTGCGTGTTAGATGTCTTGCCAACTGGTTGGTTGCTCAGCTGCTGGTGCTGCTGCCACATGTCAGGAGACTCTTGCCTGCAGATTAGACTGAATGGCTATCACCACCTTTCCCATGAATCAGACAGGCGCTGTGTTGTTGTAGCACCATATCCAATACCAGTGCTTCTGCTGCACCTCGCCAAAAAGTTACATTGCCACTTAGGTAACATACCGGTAGCATGGCTGTAGGATGGCCGTGATCTAACGAATTCTGCTTCAATCCATTGCCTCTCTTTATCTCCGCTTGCTCGCTTCAGCTTCCCAACAACCAGCTTGACCTCCAATTTGTACCAGCTTCAATGGCTATAAAAATCTTGTTCACCTTCAGTTGCTTTCACTGGCGTCCCCACCCTCCCCACACAAGCCACACGTCTCCGTCTAGTGCGTGTTGTCCACCCTGCCTTCCAAAATGCCCCGGGCCTCAGCATTCCAAGGGTCTCAGTGCTCCTCCCCTCATCTCTCCGCAGCTGCAGCTCTCTTCTGCTCCGTCGCTGCTTCACTCCCCCTTTGCCGCAGTCTGCACCACCCGTTTCAGCACACCAGTCGCCTTGCTTTCTGCCATCTGCATTCCTCAGAACTCCTTCCGTTCTTCTCTTCTTGCATCCTCCCTATCCACGCTCTCTGCCTGCTCCTGCTCCCTCCCCTCCTTCCCCTCCATTCCCTCGCTATCGTCTCCTTTCTCCCGCTGCTCCCTTTTTTCCCTCTCCTTCCTCTCTTTTCTCTCCTGCCTCTCTCTCTCCTTCCGTTCCTTCCTCTCCCTCTTCTCCTTCTTATCCTTCCGCTTCTTCTCATCCCCGTCGACCTTGCTTCTACTCTCTGTATCCTCCACCTCGGTCGCTAACCCCACTGCTTCTGAACCCCCCATTTGTGAATCCACTACCTCTGACCCCGCTACCTCTGAACCCCCTGCCCCTGAACTCCCTGCCCTTGATTCCAACGCCCCTAATTCCCCTGCTCCTAATTCCCCTGCCGCTAGTTTTCCTGCCCCTGATTCCGCCACCCCTGATTTCCCCGCCCCTGATTCCTCCGCCCTTGATTCACCCGCCCTTGATTCCCCCGTCCCTGATTCCTCCGTCCCTGATTCCTCCGCCCCTGATTCCCCCGCCCCTGATTCCCGTTCCCCTGATTCCCCTGCCCCTAATTCCCCTGCACCTGATTCCCCTGCTCTTAATTCCCCTGCCCCTAATACCCCTGCCCCTGATCCCACTGCCCCTTTTCCCACAGGCTCTGACCCCAATGCCCTTGGGCCCACTGTCCCTGACCCTCCTGACTCTAAAACCTCAGCCTGCTGCTGCTGTCGCTCGAGGAGCCGCTCAATGAGCTCCTTCTGTTCCGCCACAGCCTGCATCTGCTGCAGCAGCAGCGCCCGCATGGATTTCAGCTCCCCTGCCAGCCTCTGCTGCTCCTCCCTCTCCTCCTGCGCCTGCTGCTGCGCTGCTGACAACTGGGACTGCGCTGCTGCCTGCAGGGATTGGGGGAGAATGGGGAAGGAGCGGGGAGGTTAGGGCAGGAAGGGAAAAAAAGGGAAGAAAAGGGGAGGGAGGCTCAAAAACCATTTCCTCCTGCGCCTGCTGCTGCACTGCTGACAACTGAGACTGCGCTGCTGCCTGCAGAGGATGGGTGAGAGAGGGAGCGGGAGAGCGGTGAGGAGAAAAGTGTCTTTTGAGGCGCCTCAAAAGAGCGGTGAGGAGAAAAGTGTTGAAAAGAGGGTGTTCTGAGAAGGGATGAGGAAGCGAATGGCAAGTATCACCAATGCTCCATGAATGGACCACCCATCAGATCACTGGCGATAGCATTTCCTTGACGATTGTTTTATCAACGTAATAACAAGCAAGCACATCCCACACAATACTAACACTCCACAGACGGACCATTCACCAGCTCACTGGCAAGAGCGTCCCCCTGACGACTGTTTTACCAACCTAAAAACGAGCCAGCGCATGCCAAATAACACGGATGCTCCACAGACAGACCACTCACCAGCTCACTGGCGAGAGTGTCCGCGCTGCTCTGAGCCGCCCTCACAGCCCTCTCCCTCTCCTCCACCCTCTCCCGCAGCTCCCTGTTCTCCTCCACCAGTGACCTTTGAGGCACCCCTGCAGCATCCAAAGCCTCTAACGCTTCAGAAGCGTTTGGTTCGCTGTTCCCCTCTGGCAGAGCTTCTTGAGGTGCCCCTGAAGCCTCAGAAGCCCTTAAAGCCTCAGAAGACGCAGAAGCCCTTAAAGCCTCAGAAGACGCAGAAGCCCTTAAAGCCTCAGAAGACGCAGAAGCCCTTAAAGCCTCAGAAGACGCAGAAGCCCTTAAAGCCTCAGAAGACACAGAAGCCCTTAAAGCCTCAGAAGATACAGAAGCCCTTAAAGCCTCAGAAGCCTGGGGAGTCTTTAGCTCACTGCCGTCATCCACCAGCTCTCGCTGCACCGCCTCCCTCCCCTGCGCCTCCTCCTCCCCTACACCCCCCCACACCTCCAGTACCTGTGCGGACTGGAAGGTAGGAGGTAAGAACAGGCGATGGGCGATTCAAATGAGTGATTGCTGACAGTAGCCGTGCATGAAACTCAGACCAACATTGCTACGTGAAACTCACGCGCGCACGCGCACACACACACACAAACACACACACACACACACACACACACACACACACACACACACACACACAAAACGATGTCACTTGACCCATGTACCTGGCCGGCCGCTCTGTGTGGTGCATTGAATGTATCAGCTACCCCTAGCCTGCCTGCCTGCCTGCTGCTGCTGCTGCAGTGCCTCCCTGAGCCTCTGGTTCTCCCCCCGCAGCTGCTCTATCTGCGTGCCCTGCATTGCATTGAATGTAGCATCTACCTCTTTACCTGCCCGTCTCTATCCCGTACCTGCTGTTGCTGCTGCTGCAGCGCCTCTCTGAGCATCTGGTTCTCCTCCCGCAATCGCTCCATCTGCACGCCCACGTCCACCACGTGCCTCTGCAGTCCCGCGAAGTCCGCTCGGGTGGACTTGAGAAATTTCTCCCACAGCTGCTTGGGGGAAGAAGGGGGGGTGTTGGGGAGGGAGAGATTTTGAGTCGACTCGATAATCGACATCAGGAACATGTCCACATCCGGTTGGAAGGGTCGGAAAGGGGGTGGGGAGGGGTGGGGAAAGGGGGCGAGCGGTGGGGTTAGGAGGGAGGGGCATGGGTTAAAGGAAAACAATTAGGGTTTATTGATAGGTCTTTGGAGACATTTGTAACAGTCATTTGAGGGGAGGAGGGAGGGGGGGTGGTGAGGGAGGAGGGAGGGAATGGCAGGCCGGCTGTGAAATGACGTGACCTTTGAGGTGACCTAAAAGTGGCAGCAGCACGTACATACATATTTGTGGCTCTTGTGCCGGGTCATGACTCGTGATATGAGCCACTTTGTTGGATTGTGGGCTGATGAAATCCTCTCTGCCGCTTCTGCTCCTGCTGCTCCTTCCCTCCCTGCTCCTTCAATCCCTGCTCCCTCCGTTCCTAATTCTTGCCCTCGCCCAACCCCTTCAACTCGCCCTTTGCTTTCTCTTTCAGCAGAACCCACTTCCCTCACTCGCACCATATCCATAGCCGCTACATCACCCTTGGATGGTATTCTTCGCCTGTCTACCTCTCCAAGCTCCACCTTCCCCTCCTCCTGCCTCACCTTCTCCTCCTCCTGCCCCTCCCCCTTCCTCTCCTGCTGCAGCCTCCCTAGCTTTTCTCTCACCACTGCCCACCTTACCCCAATGCCTTCTCGTGCTGCATGTGCGGCTGCTATCCCCTGCTTCTCACCCATTCCTGCAGACGCTACTCCCCTCGTGCTGGTAGAGTTGCAAACGAACAGCACAGGCAGATTGGTTGCACTCACAATCTCAAGGGAGGACAGCGGCTGCAACAAGAAAGGAAATGGGGTGGGGATGGAGATGGGGTGGGGTTGTGGGTGAGGGGAAGGAAGGTGGAGGAAAGGTGGAGAGGTGGAGAAGGAATTGCGGGTGTAAGGTACACACGTGTTGGGTCACACTCACAAGTATGCATGTGCATTGCGTTATGCGTGGCATCTCATCAGACGACTCAAGCACAGAAATTGCTGTGGCATGGAGGTTAAAGAACATGGCTGGAGCGAACACAGACACATGAGACACAACGGTTGCACGTGCCTCGAGAGCCAGCTGCCTGGCCTTATTCTAAGAGCTACGAAGATTGAGAGCAATCTGAAGCGTTTCAGCCAGAGAGCCTTCAGACGCGTCATAGCATGAGTGCATTCAGACGCGTTGAGGCATGGCAGCCTTTGAATGCGGCAAGTGACGTACAGTGGGGGTGAGTGAGTGACGTACAGTGTAGATTGATAGGGCGTCTGAGGAGTGGTAACTAGCCCTGTAGGTGGTTACACGGAATTGGTCAGGGAAGATTGGCATGGCTGGCAGGGGAGAGCATAGTACTGGGGGGGAGAGAGGAAGGTGGGTGAGGGACGGAGAGGGAAGGGTGGGTGAGAGATGAAGAGAGGAAGGTCGAGGAAGTTAGAAAGTGCAGAAAAGGGGGGAGCGACGATGCCATGCATACTTGTGAGTGTGATGCCATGCACACCTGTGAGTGTGATGCCATGCACACCTGTGAGTGTGATGCCATGCACACCTGTGAGTGTGATGCCATGCATACCTGTTAGCGTCAAACAGTGCGTACTTGTGAGTGTGATGCCATGCATACCTGTTAGCGTCAAACAGTGCGTACTTGTGAGTGTGATGCCATGCATACCTGTTAGCGTCAAACAGTGCGTACTTGTGAGTGTGATGCCACGTATACCTGTTAGCGTCAAACAGTGCGTACTTGTGAGTGTGATGGATCGCCCTGTTGGCACAATGTGCTTCAGCCCTTCCACCACCGCGTAGCTTCGCACTGATCCAGGCTCCACCTGCTCCAGCAACGGAGGAGAAGGGTGGAGAAGTGGAGAGAGCAAGTGGTGCAGAGCGCAAGAAAGCAAAGCAGAGTGATTTGATTTGGCGAGGAGAAAATGCAGAATACTTAAAATTAGACAGGAGAATGCTCAGATGTTCCTCGTTCATTAAGCTGCAAAGAAGATTGAACGAATCGTCGGCGAGGATAAAGGGATGTGTGGGAACTGAGCGGTGCAGAGAAGGAATCAGGATATGCAGGAAACTGAAAATACTCACATCCTCCTCCTCAAATCTTCTTCCTCACATCCTCCTCCTCACATCTTCTTCCTCACATCCTCCTCCACACATCTTCCTCCTCACGTCCTCCTCCTTTGGTTCGCATTTTCCTGTGACTCACAGAAAGTAGGATATCGCGAGGGTAACCGTTGCTTATTTGGACGGTCACCGAAAGCTCCTTACTCGCCTCGACTGCCAGATGTAAAACACAATAAATTATTTTATAGGCTGTGTAATGAACGATTTGAAATAGGCGTCGTTAATGACGTCACAAGTCAATAAAACTGTGATTTAGGAATGGTCGCTTATGGTGGTAACCAGGTGTCAGTGACTGTTGTCTTACAAGGGAACGTCAGAGACTTCGGCTCGATACGAACAGCAGGTGCTGCCATTCCTATTGAAGCAACTTCCGCTGCCTAGCTATGCAATTGTGAAGGAAAAGGGGAGAAAGCATTTCTCGAAGAATATTCTCAGCTTCGGCGGAACTCGCTAACTTATCTTTCTCCCAGTTGTTTTCCGAATAAAAGGCGCTACTGGTGCTACGGAATTCGCCTGACCAAGAGAGTCAGAGAGATTTTCGCTGATCTGTGAGCTCGATTGTGGAGGTGCAAGTTCATCCAAGTAGTGTATCTTGCGGAATTTGAAATGGACCGAGTGATGCTGGCCTGGAGCCTGGAAGACTCCAATGCATCCGGAAAATCGGGGACAGCCTTTAAGATGTCGTTTCGATCACGCAAAAAACAGCAATTATTGGGGAATACACTCAATACTAAAATTCAAATTACTGTGTAAGTCAGACAGTAGTTCAGCTAATTCAGAGTCACGCAGCAGGTACAAGGTCCACACCACATGCATGAAAAGACAGGATTGAAACATTTTCAGCAAAACCCACGAAAATGGTTTCCTCTGCTGTTGCCTCCAAAGGAGCCCACGAGTAGCACCACCTTCCTTGACATCTCCACCTGTTTCCGCAGATACTACAACCATGCTGCTCACACTTCTGTGGTGCAGCCATAAACACATGCTACAGCTCTTGCCCTGCCTCTTCTGCCCTCGATTTGCCACCATAGTGCCACCCCCTATTGCTCTGCCGTCCTCCAGTTAATGCTTTCAAGTTAGAAATCGTCGTCGTTGTCGTCGTCCTCATCAAACAACATGACCAGATTACCACGACCTCTGTTGGCTGACAGCCCCAGAGGCGTTTTTTTCGGTGCCTCAAAACGAGTCTCCAGTTGATGTCCCGTCTTCCGGGTCATGCTTCCATTAGACATCGTCATCATCGTCATCGAAGGGAATGACCAGCTTCCCCCGCCCCCTGCTGGCTGATGGTCCCAGAGACGCAGTAGCAGCCGCGGCAGGAGCAGCAGGAGCAGGAGCTGCGCTGGCAAGAACACGAGAGGCAGCAGCACCAGTCTGAGAAGCAGCGGGAGGAGCAGCAAAGTGACCCCGAATGTCATAATCATCTTCATCATCGTCGTTCAACGGAATGACCAGCTTGCGAGGAGTCCTGACACTCGCTGGTCCGGGGGAATTCACAGCAGCACTGGCAGAAGCAGGAGCAGCATCGGCCGGACGAGCAGCAGCCGGTGCAGCAACGGGAGCAGCAGCAGGAGGAGCAGGAGCATATGTAGTGATTCCGTCTGAAGCACTCTTCGCGGCAGCATCTGCAGCAGCCTGCTTCCTCAGAAACGACATAAAGTCAGGCTCTTGCTGCTCTTGCTGTTCTTGCTGTTGTTGCTGCTGCTGCGCCTCCTGCTGCTGCGTTTCCTCCTCCCCGTCAATCACTCCTTCTTTTGAGCTCTCCTTTGCTTTCTTCTCCTTGGATTTCTTCTTCTCCTTCTTCTCCTCCTTACTCTTCTTCTCCTTCTTCTCCTTCTTCTCCTTCCTCTTCGCCCTCTCCTCCTCTCTCTCTCTGCTCGCCCTCTCACTACTCTGATCACTCCCCTGCAACCCCTCCTCGCCTTGCTTGTCTGCATGCGCATGCGCATGCTCATGCTCATGGTCTGTCTCTCCCTGCGACTCCCCTGCTTGCTCCTCCGTCTCCCACTGTAGCTGCTGCTGCAGCTGCTGCTGATCCTCATGATGCTCTCCCCCCTGCTGCTGCTCCTCCTCCTCCTCCTCCTCCTCCCCCGCAACCCCCTGTTGCTGTTGCTGCTGCGGCACCAGCTGCAACTGCTGTGCAGGCACCTGCTGCGGCGGCTGTCCCCGGCTCACCACCTGGGTTCTGAGCGCCTGCAGCTCCCTCAATAGCGTCTGCCGCTGCGCCTCCTCCTCCTCCAGCCGCTGCTGCATCGCCTGCAGCTGGCTCCTCGTCGCATCCTGCCAGGTGTGCATTGCACGCATTGGTTTCGAAACAAGGAGGAAAGGGTGGGGTTTGTAAAGCATGTAAAGCAACGCGGAAGGCAGGCACGGGGAGAGGGGTTGAAGGCATGGGAAAGGTTTTGAGCGGTGGTGTGCATGGGGAGAGGAAGCGAAACAACTGAACAACAGGCAAGCTGTCGCGGACATTCATCAAGTGCAACAGAACAGGAATCTCCTTAAGACAACTTTTGAGACGTCTCAAAAGTAGAGAACAGGAAAGTCCATAAGACAACTACATTATTGCTCAACCTCCCACTCATTCCCTCCCCCTCATCTCCACTTCGCCTCCCCCCACCTTCCCCCGCCCCACTCACCGCATCCTGCTTCATGACTTCTGCCTTGCGCAGCGCCTGCCTCTCCCGCTTCTCCCTCTCCTCCAGCCGATCCTTGAGCTCATTATTCTCCTCGATCAGCGCGCGCCGCATCATCTCCTTGCGCTGAAGCTCCTTCTCCACCGCACTCTCCCCCCCCGCCCCGCCCCACTTGCTCAGCATGCGCGCCGACGCAAACTGCCCCGGCTCCTTGATCCCCGGCCCGCCCCCGCCCCCCCCTGAGGGGGTGCCCAGCTGCAGACTGCTGGAGGAGGAACCGAGCGAGGAGGGGTGGGCGGCGGAGGAGAAAGAGGAGATGGTGACTGGGAGGAGGGCGGATTCGGAGGTGGTGGGTTTCGGGGTGAAGGGCGGGCGCAGGTTGGTGTGCTCCGCGCTGCTGGTGCTGCCGTGGGGGTTGAGCTGGTTGTTGGAGAAGGAGCGGGAGTAGGGGGCGGTGGAGTGCGGTGGGGGTGCGAAGCTGGTGTCCCGGGAGGGTGCGGAGGAGGCGTTGGCGGGCGAGGGGAGTGAGGAGTCGGAGAGGGTTGAGAAGGAGACGTTGAGAGCAGGCATATCCAGTATCTGGGTGAATGGAGGGAAGGGGGGGGGAGGGTAGGAGAGAGGGGAGAGAGAGGGGAGGAGGCAGGGGAGGGGAGAGAGGGGGGAAGAGGGGATGGAACGTTTGAGTGTGAGTTGGAAGTCGGGCGAGGGCAGTGAGGAGGTGGAGTGGTGAGGCGGTGGGTTGAGAGCAAAGCAGCAATGACACGATGCTGCAGGGCGCAGCAAGGAGCAGCAGGCATGCGCAAGCAGCAAGGGAGCAGCAGCGAGCAGCAGGGGAGCAGCAGCGAGCAGCAGGGGAGCGAGCAGCGCGCACCAGCTGTGACTTGACGGCCTGCACCTCCAGCAGCGCTGCCTCGAGGCCCTGCTGCAGCAGCTTTGTCACTCATGGTTGGAAGGGCAGCAGTGAGACAGAATGCTTCAGCAAGTCAGAAAGAGAGCAGCAGGGAGCAGCAGGGACGCACCAGCTGTGACTTGACGGCCTGCACCTCCAGCAGCGCGGCCTCCAGGCGCTGCTGCAGCAGCTTGAAGTCCGCTCGTGACGTCTTGAGAAACAGCTCCCACAGCTGAAAGGGGGGGAGGAGGAGGGGGGCGGGGGGAGAAGAGGGGGAGAAGATAGGGCGCGGGGGGAGAAGAGGGGGAGAAGATAGGGCGCGGGGGGAGAAGAGGGGGAGAAGATAGGGCGCGGGGGGAGAAGAGGGGGTGAAGACAGGGTGCTGGGGGAGAAGAGGGGGAGAAGACAGGGTGCGGGGGGAGAAGAGGGGGAGAAGATAGGGTGCTGGGGGAGAAGAGGGGGAGAAGACAGGGTGCGGGGGGAGAAGAGGGGGAGAAGATAGGGTGCTGGGGGAGAAGAGGGGGAGAAGATAGTGTGCGGGGGAGCGAGAGAGCAGGCAGCAGCTTCAAGTCCGGTCGGCAGGTCCCGAGAAAGGGCTCGGTGGGGATGTCTTGAGGACGGGCTCGGTGGGGATGTCTTGAGGAACGGGGAGGGGAGAGCAGGCTGCACCTCGAAGCCCTCACAGCTGTGGCTGGGGGGAGGGGGGTGTGATATGTGAGACGGGGAGAGCGGGAGCAAGGTGAGAGAGTAACGTGCAGCAGCTTGTAGCCTGGTCGGGATGTCTTGAGAAAGAGCTCCCACAGCGGCAAAGGTGGGGAGGCAAGGTGTGAGATAGAATGGGCGCAGCAGACCAAGGGTGTGCGCACATAGTCATGAGTAGACAAGGGCATGCATGGGTGCAGCAAAAGAAAACATGAATGCAGAGACGAGAAACATGTGTGGACACAAGAAACATGTGGGGAGAGGAAACATGCAAGCGATGCTACCCTACGCACATAGACGAGGCTCTTGTCCTTTGCAGCAATGGAAGAGAGAAGTCGGTCCATAGACTGCCCACTCATCTCCTCCCTCCTCTCCGCCCTCTCCATCAGCCGCCTCTCCTCCTCCTCCCGCCTCCTCTCCTCCTCCCTCCTCCTCTCCTCCTCCTTCCTCCTCGCCTCCTCCTCCTCCTCGTTCTTTGCCATGCTGCCCTTCCACACACGCGAGAGGCCCCCCTTGGGAGATGCGTCTGTTGCAAACCTCACCTTCCCTCCCTTCCCCCCCTGCGATCCCGTCCCTTCCGCGTCTTCCTTCCCGCCCTCCTCTCCTTCCTTCACGGTTTTCAGTGCTGTCGCCTGCGGCTGCTTCTGCTGCTTCTCCTTCCCCTTTTCCTTCCCCTGCTCCTTGTGCTTCTTGGCCTGGGCCCGCGCGTGCTGCTCCTCCGCCACCCCCTTGGTGACTTCGTCTGTGAAAACCACAGGCAGCTTCATCTGACACACAGCGCGCAGTTGCGACATGGGCTGGGGAGAGGCAGAGCACGAGGAGAGAGGGAGCGGGGGGAAGGACGGGAAGTGCGAGTGTCAGGCGTATTAACAAAGACACTGGCAGCTTCATCTGACACACAGTGCACAGTTGCGACATGGGCTGGGGAGGAGGCGAGAGGAAAAGGCAAACGGAGAACCAAAGGGAGATAACTGTGGAGTTCCAGCAGATCCTGATAGGTGATCATAGACCTCCTTTCTTCAGCCCACCCAGCACATCCCCTCCCACCACAGCCCCCTCCTTAGCCCCTCCCACCATTTCCTTAGCCCCTCCCACCATTTCTTTAGCCCCTCCCACCATTTTCTAGCCCCATTCCACCACAGCCTCTCCCATCCGTGCCTCTCACACTATTTCCTTCCCCCCCCCCCCCCCCCCCCCCCCATCAGTACAGTGGCTCACCGTGTGCAGCATGAGGTGGCGGGTGAACTTGTCAACAGGCATGCGCCATGCCAAGCAGCACAAAGGCGTCTCACTGCGTTCTCTCTGTTGTGAGACGACTTTTGAGTCGACTCAAAAGGCAGCACAAATGCGTCTCACTGCGTTCTCTCTGTTGTGAGACGACTTTCGAGTCGACTCAAAAGGCAGCACGAAGGCGTCTCACTGAGTTCTCTCTGTTGTGAGACGACTTTTGAGTCGGCTCAAAAGGCAGCACAAATGCGTCTCACTGCGTTCTCTCTATTGTGAGACGACTTTTAAGTCGACTCAAAAGGCAGCACGAAGGCGTCTCACTGCGTTCTCTCTGTTGTGAGACGATTTTTGAGTCGACTCAAAAGGCAGCACGAATGCGTCTCACTGCGTTCTCACTGTTGTGAGACGACTTTTGAGTCGACTCAAGAGGCAGCCCAAATGCGTCTCACTGCGTTCTCTCTGTTGTGAGACGACTTTTGAGCCGACTCAAAAGGCAGCACGAAGGCGTCTCACTGCGTTCTCTCTGTTGTGAGATGACTTTTGAGTCGACTCAAAAGGCAGCACGAATGCGTCTCACTATGTTCTCTCTGTCGTGAGACAACTTTTGAGTCGACTCAAAAGGCAGCACGAATGCGTCTCACTGCGTTCTCTCTGTCGTGAGACTGTGAAGATTAAGGCCCTCCCACCCTGTCAACGGGAGTTGTGTGTTGGCCCCGTCCTCACTTGGGCGGAGCCGACCTCGTGGTCGGGTGTGCGGGAGGTGCAGCCGACCTGCAGCAGTGGGCGACGCCGACTTGGGCGAGCTGGTTGGCGGGCTAGGTCGACCTGCACGGGGCCATTGCAAGCCGCCGACTTTGGGATGCCGGTGGCTGACGTCCGCGGGTGGTCGACGACGAGCTCGTCGACCAGGGGAGGGCGCCGAGTTCGGGTGTTCGACCTGGTGTGGTCAACCGGAATTGTCGTCGACTAGGGTGGGTGACGGGCACGAGGAGAAGCAGCTGGTCGACGCCAGGCACACAAGCCGACGCCGCCTTGGTGGTTGCCCCGTCGACCAGTTTACACGAGCGACGGGGATTGGCGGAAGTGCGCACCCCGAGGTCGACGTGGCTGGTGGGCGCAGTCGCTGGTGTGTTCTCGGCCTCGCGTCTGCGCTGTGCACGTGACGGGGCGTGGCACACCAACCAGTCGTGTGCATCTGCGAAGCAGGTGCACCGTTGTCCTGCGGGTGCAACGCTGTGCAGCTGACTTACTCCATTGTTGGCACACCGTGGACTTGCAACGTTGGCAAGTCGCTGCTCTGCAGCGCTGGAGCGGTGCGAGCTTTGCTGCGCTGGAACGCGGTCGACCGTGCTGCGCTGTCAGTCGACCTGCTTCCATGCTAGCTCTGATGTAGTTAGTCTTGCCAACTTTGTTGCTATCATTCTAAACTTTTGTTTTGAACCTTTGCTAGTGGAACTCTTACAAAATCTCTCCATGAATGTGTTAGCAGTGAACACACGAGCAAACGACTAAGGAACGAACGCTACGATCACTCCTACCCCATGCGTTGCCCGTAGTCTAAGCTCCCGTTGTTAGAGTTATCTCCGCACACCCACCATTTCCACTCCCCACCCACCCCACACAATCAGTGGCTCACCGTGTGCAGCGTGAGGCGGCGGGTGAACTTGTCAGCGGGCATGTGACATGCCAGAACGAAGGCATCGGGCCAGAACGGCATGGATGACAGTGGCAAGCACGACACTGGCAGGGAGGAGGAAGGAGGGGGGGTGGGGGGGGGGGGGGGGGACGGAAGGGCGGGGAACGGGTAGGGTGTTATTGAGGCGCGTCGGGTTGGGCCAGAAGGGCATGGATGACAGCGGCAAGCACGACACTGGCAGGGAGGAGGAAGGAGGGGAGGGGGGGGAAACGGAAGGGCGGGGAACGGGCAGGGAGGAACGCGGGGAGAAGTGGGGGGGGAAGTGGGGGGAGAAGTGGGGGGAGAAAAGGCACGTTTGGGCGAAAGAGGTGGTCACCAGCGATGCACGGGCCATCACGAAGAAGCTCGTATGGAGAGGAAAGAGGCGGCTACGTGTGAGAAGGAAGGAAAGGCGGTTGCCAGTGAGGAGGTGGTTAGCAGTGAGGAGGTAGTTACCAGTGAGGAGGTGGTTACCAGTGAGGAGGAAGGAAGACCCTTCAGGCACGACGATCTTGGTTCCGTCCTTCACCTCGTACTTGCGCACCGTTCCCGGCTTTATCTGGTGGCGCGCGATGGAAAGAGAGGTGGGGGGGAGGGAGGGAAGGGGGGGAGGGAGGGAAGGGGGGGAGGGAGGGCAGGGGGGAAGGGAGGGAGGGAGGGAGGGAGGGAGGGAAGGAGGGAGGGAGGGAGGGGGGGAGTGAGGGAGGGAGGGGGGGTGAGTGAGGGAGGGAGGGAGGGAGTGAGGGAGCGAGCGAGACTAACAGCGGAGCAACAAACAGTGGAGCGACTCACAGCGAGGAATGAGCAGGTGGGAAGGAGGAGATTGACCGTGATGGCGATGTCGTTGGAGTAGTCGTTGTGGATCCTCACGCGCGTGCGCAGCTTTTCAGTCGACTCAAAACACGAGTGAGCAAGTACGAGGTACTACGCGGTTCTAGGCAGGCAGGAAGGAAGAGACAGACCGTGATAACGACATTCTTGGAGTAGTCGTTGTGGATCCTCACGCGCGTGCCACTTAATGAAAGTGTGCTTCTATCACGAGGCACGAGGTGACTGACCGTGATAACGACATCCTTGGAGTAGTCGTTGTGGATCCTCACGCGCGTGCGCAGCTCCTTCCCCGCCTCGACTGCCGCCACGGGGAGAGGGGGGGTAGACGAAAAGGAGGGAGAGGGAAGGGGAGAGTGGGGAAGGAGCGGAAAGGGATATGAGTGATTGTGAGCATGCAGGGAAGTGCGCAGAATGCGTGCAGGAAAACGATGATCCGAGAGGTAGAAAAGAGTTTCAACTGCGGTGTTGGCGATCCTGGGTTGCCAAACTTTCGCGGGAAGGTGCGGAGGGAGAGGAGGCTGGGACGAATGGAGAACGAACAAACAGTGGCGCGGACACCACGCTACTCGACCAAGCGCGGGATTGGGATGGCAGTTGCGTTGGCAATGTGAGGCAAAAGGTTGAGCGCTTACAGCTGAATGCTAACGCCCCGGGTTCGATTCTCAGCCTCGGCAACGCCATGGCTGAATGATGGGGGGTCACTTGACGCTTGCGTCGCAACGAGAGCTTTAGGGCGAGAACTGCGCGTGACTGCGCGCGTCGAATGCGGCGTGGATAGCACGAGCACAACGGCCGTGAAGCTAAGACGGGACGCGAATCAGCAGTCCGGAAAGGGGATCTCCATTGTTTTTAATTTAACATGGAAATAATACCTCCAATAACCTTAAGACAATGTCTTCACCACGACGGAACGAAATAATTACTTCAAGACAAAGTCTTTGACTACATCAATCCCCTGCCACAATCTCGGTGTACTTCCCCGGTTCATCACTTCCACAATAACATTTCAAGATTTACTTGCCTCTAATCTACGAATTACCACTTCCCAGCCAAAATGGGGAGTGAGCTGGAACAGCGTGAGCTGAGGCAAATAAATTTTGGTGAGTGAGGAGAGTGATGTTTCATGAGAAGTGTAACAGCTGGATTCAGCTGCCGGCTCGTGCGGTGAGGTGAGTGATGTTCTTCACTATGTTGGTGTGGTGTGGTATGGTTTCGTGAGTCTTGGTTCGTTCTGGTGTGGTTTCGTGTGGTGCTGGAGTCCTGCTCGCGGTTTGATGGGGTGTGTGGCTTGGATTGGTTCGAAATTGGGAACGCGGAAGGAGCGAGCGGAAAGGGAAGCGGGAGGGGAAAGGAAGGGCGGTGTTGGGGGAAAGGCGGGCGTGAGTGCGGACAGTCAAGCACTTGCAGTGCTCGAGGAGGTGGGGAAAGGGGGGAGCAGAGGGGGGAGCACCAATAATGCTTTTACTGTGCAATACCGAGGCCAGTATCCGCGCTACTAAAGGATTCCAAGTTATCATCGTGCAGATAGTCCTTCCAACAAGAGTACGTTGTAATTAGCCTTCACTATTCTGATTTTGAAAATAGTTGTTGCAAGTGCAAGAGTTATACGTGGGACCACAATTCGATCAACAGCTGTTCAATGCACTGATTGATATTCACCAGGAATCGGACGTCCATCTACTAGGAGATTTTACAATACCGATAATGCAAATTGGAACGAAAATCGTGTGTGTCGTACAATATTAGATACCCGTTGTAACAGAGAGCAGGAACAAACATTTACATAATAAATTATGTTGCCATCCTGCCCAAAAATCCTGCCAGTCCATGTCGAGTCCTCATGCTCATGCGCCCTTCACAGTCATTTACAATGCCACATGGAGCCTCAAATGGCACGAAAAGCATCACAAGGAAACTGGACTCGTGGAACACAGCAGCATGATTGGGCAAGAGCGGTGACTGTATCCGTAGAAGATGGGAGCATGTGGAGTGTAGATGTCCAGGTGGCAGCGCGGAAGCCGCCACTTCGAGACTCGCCATAAATACATGACATCTCAACTATGACACAGTAACATCAGGAGATGAGTGGCAATGCAACACCAACACCGCCCATACGTTACAGGTCAGACCACAAGAACCACCCTTCATCCCCTGTCACCCCCTCCTCCTCCAAACCTCCCCCAAACCTCTCTGGAAGGGCTGGCAACAACAGAGGTTCGGCACTGAGGTTAGCCAATGACAGGGCATCTAGTGAGGGTGGTAGAACAAGAGGAGGAGGTTCAGCAGCGCGAACGGCTGGACGACTGGCTGGGACGGTTGCCGGACGAGAGAGAATGGCTTGGTGAAGTGAGGTTCGGGCAGATGGTTCGGGCGGGGAGTTCCACGAAACTTCAGAAGGTGACTGGTGGTTCGGGCAGAAAACATTCATTGTCTGCCCGAAGATCTGCATGGAGGAATCAGTGGAATCGACAAGAACGTTCGCCGACCAATCAGAAGCCGTGGTTGTGGCGGTGCCGCTGGTGGTGCCTGTAGTGGTAACTGCGTTACCACCAGTAGCGCTAGTTAAAGTGGTGGCGGTGGAGGTGTGGGAGAGCACCTGGGGAAGCTCCAACGTAAAAGGCTCTAAAGGGGACTCCATCCGCTCCATCTGATCTGTTCGTACGATCTGGTCCGCCTGGTCCATCTGGTCTGCGTGCTCCATCTGATCCATCCGTTCCATCTGGTCCGTCCGTTCCATCTGACTGTTCTGGTCAATCTGGTCCGTACATTCATTGGGGTTGGAGCAGGAAACTGGCGAGAAGGATTGGGAGATGGCAGGAGGAGAGGGCGTAGTGGCAGGTGCGGGTGCTGTGGTAGCAGGTGTGGCAGCAGCTATGGTGGTTGCAGCAGGCAGGGAAGCGGAGGGAAGAGCAGGGAAAGAGGGCGGGAGGTGGAGCAGGGGGCTGCCTGCTGACCGACAAGGAGGGGTGTGGGTGGTCGCACGTGGGGAGGCGAGCAGTGACAGGGGCATGCGCAGGAGGGGAAGAGAGGGCGTATTGGAGGGGCGAGAAGGGGCTTGTGGTGCTGGTGGTGGTGCGGGAGTAGAGCAAGGGGGAGGGGTAGGGGCGGCAGGAGGAAGAGGTGGGTCCAGGCCCAGGTCTCTCAGGGTCTCCTCCCATGATGGCGCTTGACTCCCAGGTGGATTCTCAGGTGCCAAACTGCTCGCCTGCTGCTGCTTCTGCAGCTGCTGCTGCTGTTGATGACAATAGTGATTCTCCTGTAGGCCTGCTTGTGGTTGCCCGGCATGCTGAGGCTGCTGCTGCTGCTGCTGCTGCACCTGCTGCTGCACCTGCTGCTGCAGCTGCTCCGAGCCACACTCCATCTTCCCACCACTCCACCCTTTCACCTCCTGTACCTCTGCGCCCGCCTCACCCTCCGCCGTTGCCTCTGCAGCACCCACGTCCATCCTCATCACACCACCACCGCACCCACCACTGCTGCCCCAATCCCCATCACCATCCCCATCACCACCACCATCCCCATCCCTACCAGGCCCATTCTCCACACCATCCCCACCATCCTCCCCATCATCCATACCCTCTCCCCCACCACCCGCACCAGCCTCTCCCCCACCACCCGCACCAACCTCTCCCCCACCACCCGCACCAACCTCTCCCCCACCACCCGCACCAGCCTCTCCCCCACCACCCGCACCACCCTCCCCCCCGCCAGCTTCCGCTGCCGCCCGGCTGGCGCGCATAAGAGCATCCGCAATCCCCGGGGGACCGCCACTGGCTGCACGCTTTGGGGAAAGTTAAGCCTCGCCGCCCGGCCCTTGAGTAGCCGGGCGGCCATGTCGTACACGCGGGCGGCTTCCTCGGCGTTATCGTAGGATCCGAGCCAGATGCGCGTGCGCGTTGTGGGCTCGCGGATTTCTGTCACCCACCGCCCCCACCGCCGCTGCCGCACCCCCCGGTACCGCACGCGGGAGTGGTTATGGTGGTGGGGATGGTGCGAGGGTTGAGGGTGGTGGGGGGGGATTGAGTGGTGTGGGGAGGGGTGACGTGCGGACGGAGCAGGGGGAGTAGCGGGGGGGGCAGCAGGGGAAGCGGAGGGGACAAGAGAAAGGGGAGAGGGAAGGGGAGCATAAGGGGGAGTGGCAGGGGTAGCAGAAGAGTGAGGGGTGGCAAGAGCAGTAGGAGGAGGAGGAGGAGGCAGAGGAGAGGAGGGTGGCTGCGGATGGGTTATTAAAGAACCCTGTTGCAGGATGGGCTCATGGCCGGGTTGTTTGAAGGGTGAGACCGATGCTGCTGGGACTGCTGCGCCAGCTGTGCCTGTGGTGGGTGCTGGTGACAGTGAGAGCGGCGATGTGCGTTCAGGAGGGGTGTGCGTGAGAGTGAGTGAAGGAGCAGGCATGGCAGTAGGCATGGCAGTAGGCATGGGAGCAGGCATGGGAGCAGGCATGGGAGCAGGCATGGGAGCAGGCATGGCAGTGCTGACGGGCATGGGGACGACAACAGCAGCGCGAGTGAGCGTGCCTCCCACCATCATCCACGCGGGTTCCTGCTGTTGCTGCTGCTGCTGCTGCACATCGTGGGCCGGCACCACTGCGTTGCTGCTGCCGTGGATGTTGCTGTTGGCGGCCGCAGAGGCAAACCCAGCCTCGTTTCCAATGCCACTCTCAACTCCACTGTACCCCGCTGCCTGCTGGTTCGCCTGTGCGTCTGCCGTTTCTGCTGCTGCTGCTGCTACTATTGTTGCCGTTGGGATTCTTGTTCCAGCAGCAGGTGACACAGCAACAGGAAAGGCGTTCGCTGCCGCAGCGCTTGCAGGTGAGTGCAGAGCTGTGCGCGTTCTCGGCTCGCCATCAATCCCGCTGCTACCGCCAGAAATGGTACCACTGCCGCCACTTACCCCAGTTCCCCCGCTTCCCCCGCTTCCCCCACTCTCCCCACTCACCCCAGTTGAACCTCCCCCAACAATCTCCCCGACATCAGGTTCCGCCTTCACCTTTCCTTCCACCCCCAGCGCCGCAGCTCCCTTCCCCCCTCGGTTTGCACCCGCGCCGTCCAGTGACAGTGACCGCCGCGCCTTAGGACCCGACCCTTCCCACACACTCGCGGTATTTCCCCCCCTCTTTTCCGCCGTGACGGAAACTTCCTGTTTCCCCGCAGCTGCTACTGCTGCGGCAGCTGCAGAGTCAGCCTGCCCACGGCGCTTCGACCCTCCGCCCGCCGCTGCTCGTAGCCGCGCCTGCGCCTGCGCCTTGGCTTCCGCGCGCTCCTTGCTGCGCTTGCTCAGGAATATCGCGTCGATGCGCGCGAGAAGCGCGCTGGAGAGAGTCGCGGCGCGGGGGGGAACATCGCGGGATCGCGGGGAAGGTGGCTTCTGAGTCCACTCAAGCGTCACTGGGCCAAAGGGGGCATCGCGGGGCTGCGGAGAAGCTAAGGCCTTTCTGCCCACCCGCCGTTCCCGCTCTTGCGCGCGCGGAAGCAGCATCCCCTGCTCCCGCGCGCCTGAAGAACTCGAAGGTTCCGCCTTTTTTGCGCCTGCCAGCGCCGGATATCCGCGGGTCTGGGAGCCACGTGGCACATTCGCCGGCAAAACTAAACTGGAGTCGGGTGCGGGAGATGCGGAAGACCCCGCGATTGTGCTCGCGGAACCATCGTGCGGCCTGGATTGCGCCCCAGCACCTCCCCCGCTCCCCCCGTTTCCCTCACCTCTCCCAATCCCTCCCCCCCCTTCCCCCACGCAAGGGCTAAGAGGCGCAGCGCGGATGCCATAGACCGCGGAAGACGGCGAGGAAAGCGGGGAGCGATGGGTCTCGTTGAGCCGGGGGGGGGGGAAAGGGGCGGCGAAGGCCCCTCGACCGCGCGGCGCTTGAACGGATGCGCGGGAACTACCGTTATTGCTAAGGGCGGCGGAGACTGCACGCCGGGAGAGTGCGGAAATCCCGCTCCCGGAGAGAAGGGGGCGGGGGAGCGCGTCGCCGGGGGACGGGATAGCGGAGGCGGGGTGGAAGCGGGGAGGCGCGGAGTTAAGGAGTTGCTGGTGGGAGGGAAATCGAGGGAGGAGGTTTGACGGTGCTGCGTCTGACGTGGCATGTGAGGAATCTCGGATCCAGATTCGCCCACGTGAACCCCCTCTATTGGCGGCTCGGCGACTGGGAACTCGTTATTACGCGGCTCGTTTTCAGGCTCGACCTGGGTTTGGGATGTATTGAAGCAGGAGTACGGTAACGGATAAGCTATGCGAAGAGACGATAGTGACGGTGGCCGTTTCAGTTGCCGGCTGGAAGAAAAACAACCGGCGAGATGCATTACTTGGGGCCAACTTAAACGATTAAATAAGTCGAAATGACAAATCGGCGTGAGCGACAGTCGGAAAAAAGAAAAACCTCAGGAGACTGCCTAGAGGAACTACTTTCTGGAAGAGGAGCTACTACGGTACTCAGGTTTCTGTGCGGCGAACTCTAAGATACTGTGGAAAGAAAGTTAGCAAGAAGTGATGTGAAAAGGTATGATCCTTTCCTGCTTGCGTCAGATTTGCGGCGGGGTATGGTCTGCTTCCGTCGGACTGTTGGCTTCGTGGTCGCTTCTGGTTCCGCCCAGCAAACAAGCATCCCGCTCCTCCGCCTCCCTTGCCTGTGAATCTTGGGGAATCGGGATGCCCCCGCAGCTGCGAAAGGCGCGATATTCCCCACTGCCCTTGAACCCCTCTTGCGCTGCGGGGGCAGGGGAAGAACAGTGGGTGGGAAGAGGGGAACGAAGGGAAGGCAATTTCGGATGGACCTCGCCTGGAATTTTGGTCGGGCCGCACGCCGACGCATCGCATTTGCGCATTTGTTGGGTGGAGCATCGGAGCCTTGACTCTCTCACTCCACCTTCCCCTTCCCCTCCGCAACAGTCAGTCGCTCGGGAATCTGGATCCTTGCAGTGCTTTTGTCTGTTGCTGGGTTGTGTTCGGCTGCTTTCGGTGACGGAGAGGTGGAGCGACAGTCGCGACTTCGTTGAACGAATTACAGCTCGGCAGGACGTTTCGTTGCGCTGACGACAAGCGACTAGAGTAACCTACAGCACCACCGACAGCAAACCGAACAGAGAGGCAACCCAGGCCTAGTGTGATGCATCCGCCGACACGTGGAAACTAGTGCGACTTTCCACGTAGCATACGTACTCACCAACAGCCGACTCGAAATAACAAAGATTAGTAACGCTGTATACACTTACGTATTGCATCTGTTCGCTATACTCACATGTGCACCTATCCGTATCACAACAATTATTACAGTTCTGGTTCCCAACAACCGCGCGCCAATTGGCCTATCCCAGCCACACATGACTGGTCCCGTCCTGTCCCTCCATTTTCGCCTGACACCATTTTCCAGCCACTCACAGCATTTCCCTCCATCAGTCACCCTTGGTCGTGCAGGTTCCCCTTCCGCCCAACCTTCCGAATTCCAAACCTCGATTTTGTCATCCGGAAATCTCACATTCGATCAGCGAGGTATTCAGTGCGTTTGAGTAAGTTCCGTAGTGTTCTAAAGAGGTTTCTGGCTGCCGAACAGTTACGTCCCATACCTGACAAGAAGGGTTTTTAGTTTCCCCGGAAGGCTTACTGTAGCTGTCCTTCTTTCAAGGGACTTTCATCTCAGCTTGCGCACACTTTCCGCTGATCCGCTTCTGAGGCGGAAGAGTTATTGTGCTAACACAGAACTCGGCTTCTCCGCACGTCACGCAAGCACTGTTTTCATCGGGTGTCTTCTGCCAGCAAGCACAAAACTAAACCCCTCTCGGGTGGCAAGTTTTCGAGGGCATCAACCCTAAACTCCACGCGATTAGGTGTTTAGGATTGATGCCCTTTATTTACATGCCAACCAAGAGGGATTATTTTTGGCATCAACCCTAAACACTTAGTCGCAGTGTTTAGGGTTGATGCCCCCTATCACTTGCCAGCCGAGAGGGATTTAGTTTAGTGCGGATTAGAGAGGAAAAAAAAATTCTGTTGTGCATCGTTTGCCTGACTAGTAGCAGCTAAGGCCTTACGAGATGATGACACGTGGGTAAACGTGGAGCCGAGTTCTGTCCCAGCGCAATAAGTCTTCTGTCTGGGCGTCGAAACCTGGGAAACTCTGTGCAGGTAGAGATGAAGCTCCCTAGAAAGCGCAGGTTCGGAAGTACCCCTTCCGCAATAACTAAAAACCCTGACAAGAACTCACCTCGACCACTCACTTCGAAAACTCCAGCTTTCACGGTCTTGCACTGCACGCACACCTTGGTTTCCATTTGGTTGTTGAATGCACACATCCACCTACATCATGCTGCTCTCGTTTCGAGAAAAGTGCGTCGCCACCAGCTGGATCATCGCATGAGTAGAAACAGCGAGGTTTGTAACCACCGAACGATTATGAAGGCTTACGTTCTGTTACATGGATCTGTTGGTGTTCCTGAGACCAGCTGATTCTAGCGAGCGATGGCATTAGGAACTGAAGCGGCATCCGTAGGAACTGTAGCAACACGCAGGTACACCTGCTGAGCCTCCTGCGTCTGCTTTTGCCTGCACTGCAAATAAACTCGTCGATTTGGTAGCCAGCGATCGGGCGCGCCAGGATGGATCGGTCGGTTAGTGCGAGGCGGAAGGGCGAAGCGCCGATCCCGGCGGCGCAGGAGAGCTTCTGGTCGAGCCTGGTGAAGAAGATGGCGGACTTCGTGCTGGAAGACGACATCCCCTCCTCGCGCTCGTCCACGCCGCGGCATCAGCATTCGCCCACGCTCAATGCGGAGGTGAGCCGCTGAATCAGGCCAGGTTATTGGGGCTTGCTGCCGTTCCTGTTCAGTCGCTTTTCTGAGCTTGCTCATAATGTTACTGAATTCGCTCCCTCACGCGCGTTACCGTCTTTCCCTTGCGGAATCCGGCATTCTAAGAGTTCCGATCGTTATTCCGTGTGCCCTTCTCGTTCCCCGCCAGGATCTTCTCGGGAAACCTGTTGCGGGCAGCGGTGTGTCCAGCAGCCCGCGGAGGGCGAGCGCTAAGACAAGCTCCCCCCAAGCACCGCCGGGAGGCGGCAAGCATGCTGGAGGCTCGAAGCCCACGCAGACACGAAGCAACGGAACCGCAAAATTTGCAGGAACCGAACGAACGGCAGGGATGGCAGCAGGTGCAACGGGAGCAGGGAAGCGAGGAGGCGGGGATTCAAAGCCTGCTGATGCAGCAGCAGGAGCAGGAGCAGGGGGTGCGGTGTCAGGTGGCATGGCAGGTGGATCAACAACAGCGGGTGGCAAGGGAGGCGGCGGTGGTGGCGGGTTTGTGCAGGGAGGGCTGGACGCCATTATCAACTCCATCTCCCTGCTCGGTGACACCCTTGGCTCCGCTCTCGATGTAAGCTTCCCCGCTACTGATGCAGGCACTGACACACCGCCCTCCCCCTTTCCCTCCGCGCTCACACCATGTGCTCTGCCCTTCCAAAACTGCTCGCCTTGCTGTACTTCTCCTCCCTGCCCCTCTCCTCCCCTCCTCTACCTCTTCCTTGCCGCTGCGCATGACGGCAGGAGGGCACAGGCAAGGTGGTGCAGGTGGCGGTGGGGGACCGCCCCTTCTTCAAGGCGTCTCAAAATCCAATCCTCTCCTCCCCATCCCCTCTCTTCCTCCCTCCCCTCTCCCCCCTTCCCCCACTGTGCATGACGGCAGGAGGGCATAGGCAAGGTGGTGCAGGTGGCGGTGGAGGATCACCCGCCCCCCAGAAAGGCAGCAGCGAGTACCAAGCCCAGTGCGTCAGGCAGGCAGTCCGCGCCCAGAGCGCCCACCAGAGACGCGCGCCCCCGCCTCGTGCAGTCGAAAGGGTCTGACAGCGTGCACATGAGAGGAGCTGACAGGGGCTCTGAGGCTGCTGTAGGGTCAGCGGGGGGAGGGGGGGCAGTAGCAGGAAGAGCAGCAGTGGGAGGAGCAGGAGGAGCAGCAATGGGAGGAGCAGGAGGTACAGCAGGAGTGGCAGTAGCTGCAACAGCTGAGGCGGTAGTTCCAGAAGCAGGGGGAGGGAAAGCAGGAGAAGCAGCGGTGGGTGCAGGTAGAGCAACAGCTGTGGGCGCTGCAAAGGCCGTGGCGGCACAGACAGATGTAGTGGCGCCCACACAGGCAGCGACAGCAGCAGAAACAGTGGGACCAGGAGTAGCAGGACCAGGAGCAGTTGTAGCAGGAGCAGCAGCAGTGCGAGAGTCAGAGCGGAGTATTAGTGGTATGGGTGAGGGGCATGGTGGAGGGGTTGTGCCTGTAGAGCAACGGATGGAGGCACGAGAAGGGCGAGCTGGGGGGACTGAATCTGCTGCCTCCCTCGTTTCTCCTGCTTCACTCGCCTCTCCTCCTGCCTGCGTCTCTCCTGCTTCCCCTGTCTCGCCTCCCTCCCTTGCTGCACGGCCTGACGACCCTCTTGCATCTCCTCCCCCTCAAGCTCCCGGCCATGCGTCCACTGGCCCGACTGCCACGTCAGCTGCCACGTCAACAGCCACGTCAGGTGCTGCTCTGGCAGCGGAAGATGATCTGCTAGTGCGGCTGCCAAGGGGGAGGGAAATGCAAGAGGGGAGAGAGGAGGGGGTGAAGCGGGCGAGTGAAGCAGCGGTGCATGTGCCCAAGGAGACCCAGCTCGTGGCGTCCCGGAATGTGAGTCCTCCGCTGCAATGAGGGTCTGTAGCAACGTGACGACGTGAGTTGTTTGTGAGTTGGCAGCAACGTGAGTCTGCAGTCATGGCCATTCGGGTCGCTCCAACATCACTCTCCCCCCCCCCTCCCTATCCCTCCACTCCACCCACGTGGCCACAGCCATGGCCATGCGGGTGAAGCAGCTCACTCCTCGAATCGCCCCTCCTCCCTCTCATCTCATCCCTCCACTTCCCGCTTCCTCCCTACCCGCCCTAACTCCCCCCTTCTCCCCCCCCAGGTGGCCACAGCCATGGCCACGCGTACCAAGCAGCTCATCATTGTGACATCGCTCCTCTCATCCCTCCATGACCCCCCCCTTACTCATCACATCCTACTACCCTCTCCCCTCCCCAGGTGGCCACAGCCATGGCCATGCGCGCCAAGCAGCTGCAGGCGGACCTCAAGGCAGCCCGGCGTGACGCCATGGACGCTCGAGAGCGGTGCAGAGCGGTGGAGGAGGAGAACGAGCGGCTCAGAGCGGCGCTGGCTGCTGCAGAGGCGGCGAGGGGGGAAGGGAAGGGTGAGGGGGTGGGGGAGCGTGAGGCGGAGGGGGGGGTGGAGGGGGAGGGAGGCGTGGACACGCATCACCACCACCATCACTCTGAATTGGAAGACATGGTGAGTGTGATGGGCTGGAACATGTGATGATTCTTTAGTTGGTTGAAAAGTTAAGAGGGAGGGGTGGACAAGCATCACCATCACCACCACCATCACTCTGAATTGGAAGACATGGTGCGTGTGGTGGGTTGAATTGCTCCCTCTCTCCGCACATATCTTCCCACCCTGGCGTTGCCCTCCTCTCCTGCACAACAGCTAGGCGTGCTGTGCCATGAGAGGTCACAGCAGCAAACCCCTTCTCCTTGCTTGTTCTGATTTCGTTTTCCAAAATGCCCGTCTTATGCCCCCCCGGTTTTGACCCCCCCATCGGTCACAGCTGCACGAGCAGCTGGGAGTGTTGCTGCAGGAGAAGGCAGAGCTGGTGGCGGGGAAGGCAGCAGTGGAGCGGGAGAACGAGATGCTGCACCACCTGCTGCTCTACTATGAACACCTCTACCTTCACCGTGGTGGCACACCAGGGGAGCACCCTGTGTTGCTGCCCAATGGGGGCCATGTGCTGCCCGATGGGGGAGAGCATGTGCTGCTGGCAGGGGGAGAACATGTGATGTCGGCAGAGGAGCATGCGGTGTTGATGCATGAGCACATGCACTTGCATGGGGGTGTGACGGATGGGCATGGTGGTGATGTGGATGCGCACATGCATCTGATGAATGCAGGCTCTCTTGCCCCTGCTGTTGATGCTGCTGCTGGTGCTGATTGTGCTGCTGGTGCTGCTGCCACTGATGCTGGTGCTGCTGATGGTGGTGCTGCTGCTGGTAGTACTGATGCTTCTGATGCCGCTGGCTCTGCTGCCAGCTGTCACGGAGATATGGTTGCTACCAGTGAAAACTGCGATTTCAGGGCTGATGCCGCCGCTGCTACTGCTAGCGTTGCTGCTACTTATGAGACTGGGGATCCCAGAAATCAGCAGCCTGGGACTGGGGAGGCTGAGAGTGGAGCTACTGACGTCACACCAGGGGGCTGTGTTGGGGGAAGGGAGAACCAGGAGGAGGGGCAAGAGAGGGCTGAGGAGCACACAGGGACGCCTTTGTTGCAGCCGGAGGTGGCAGGGGAGGTCACATTGGATGAAGCAAGGAGAGGCAGTGAGGTGGGTGGGGGGGCAGAAGCGGGTGGAGGGGAGAACCGGGAGGAGGGACAGGAGAAGTGTGAGGACCGTAAAGATGCGCCTTCATTGCAGCAGCAGGTGGCAGCGGCAGGCTCGTTGGACGAAGTGGGGGGAGGCAGGGAGGTGTGTGGAGGGGCTGAGCCGGGTGAAGGGGGTGAGGTGGTGGATGGGGGCGGTGTTGGAGTGAGGGTGGATGGTGCAGTCTTAGAGGGAATGGAGGACGAGCAGAAAGTGGGTTTCGAGACGTCTCGAAACATGGATGAAGGGGGTGAGGTGGTGGATAGAAGCGGTGTTGGAGTGAGGGTGGATGGTGCAGTCGTGGAGGGAATGGAGGACGAGCAGAAAGGTGCTGCAGGGCGTGGTGTTGATGACTGCAAGGGTTCCAGTGTGTATGCAGGCAGCTGAGGCAGGGTAGAGTCCTTAAAGTCGGCTGAAGAATCACCTCAGTGTCAAGAGGGTCGTAGTGTGTGTGCGGGCAGCTGATCTGGGGCATGGGTAAGTGTGTTGATGCACGCCATTTGGCTGTGTTTGTTGGGTTGCTTTAGATAGGCAGCAGCAGTGATAGAAAATGCTATGCTAGTAGTAAATGATGCGTTGATGGTAGACTAGCATGATCAGGCTGCAATGCCCATGTCAAGTGCAAAGAGTAGTGCCAATGCAATGCATTGTAGTGACTCATACTGGATCGCAGCATTATATAGACCAATTTATGGCGAGCTTTTGTGTTTTTATCTAGGCTGTGGCAGCCAATTACTGCCCCTATTTGTGAATAAACTTCTTCTAATGCAGGATCACCCTGCCGTGTTTAGAAGAAAGACAGATGTGACTGTGTGTGGAGCTATGTGCCCTGGGAGGCACAGCTAGAGTCACTACGTGCCCTGCGGAAGAGTGCTTGTGCTTCGCCTTCGCTTGGCATTGCGCGCTGCTGCATCCTCCCTGTGGACCATGCCAGCATGCAGGCATGGAAGTATGGGATCATGTGAGCATGTGATCATGAGGTCATGAGGACATGTGGGCATGAGGACATGTGGGCATGCGGGCATGTGGGCATGAGGACATGTGGCCATGAGGACATGTGGGCATGTGGGCATGAGGACATGAGGACATGAGGACATGTGGGCATGCGGGCTTGAGGGCATGAGGACATGTGGGCATGAGGACATGTGGGCATGAGGACATGTGGGCATGAGGACATGTGGGCATGAGGACATGTGGACATGAGGACATGTGGGCATGAGGACATGTGGGCATGAGGACATGTGGGCATGAGGACATGTGGGCATGAGGACATGTGGGCATGAGGACATGTGGGCATGAGGACATGTGGGCATGAGGACATGTGGGCATGAGGACATGTGGGCATGAGGACATGTGGGCATGAGGACATGTGGGCATGAGGACATGTGGGCATGAGGACATGTGGGCATGAGGACATGTGGGCATGAGGACATGTGGGCATGAGGACATGTGGGCATGAGGACATGTGGGCATGAGGACATGCGGGCATGAGGACATGCGGGCATGAGGACATGCGGGCATGAGGACATGCGGGCATGAGGACATGCGGGCATGAGGACATGCGGGCATGAGGACATGCGGGCATGAGGACATGTGGGCATGAGGACATGTGGGCATGAGGACATGTGGGCATGAGGACATGCGGGCATGAGGACATGCGGGCATGAGGACATGCGGGCATGAGGACATGCGGGCATGAGGACATGCGGGCATGAGGACATGTGGGCATGAGGACATGTGGGCATGAGGACATGTGGGCATGCGGACATGTGGGCATGAGGACATGTGGGCATGAGGACATGTGGGCATGAGGACATGTGGGCATGAGGACATGTGGGCATGAGGACATGTGGGCATGAGGACATGTGGGCATGAGGACATGTGGGCATGAGGACATGTGGGCATGAGGACACGTGGGCATGAGGACATGCGGGCATGAGGACATGCGGGCATGAGGACATGTGGGCATGAGGACATGTGGGCATGAGGACATGCGGGCATGAGGACATGTGGGCATGAGGACATGTGGGCATGAGGACATGTGGGCATGAGGACATGTGGGCATGAGAACATGTGGGCATGAGGACATGTGGGCATGAGGACATGTGGGCATGAGGACATGTGGGCATGAGGACATGTGGTCATGAGGACATGTGGGCATGAGGACATGTGGGCATGCGGACATGAGGACATGTGGGCATGCAGACACGCAGCTTACAGAGAGTGCAGCTGACAGGGCGGATGGAGCTTACAGAGGGGAGGAGGTAACAGGCGGGGCAGCAGTGAGCGCAAGGCTGTGGGATGCCCGCTTGGACTTGCTCCTCTCCTTGCGCTCCTTGCGACTGGTGGGCATGCGCAGAGGGAGAGAGGGGGAGGGGGAGGGTGAGAGGGGGAGAGAGGGAGGCACAGGGGAGAGAGGCAGAGGGGAGAGAGGCAGAGGGGAGAGAGGCAGAGGGGAGAGAGGCAGAGGGGAGAGAGGCAGAGGGGAGAGAGGCAGAGGGGAGAGAGGCAGAGGGGAGACAGGGAGGCAGAGGAGCATAGCAGTGACAAGAGCGCCTAAGGCGAAGAGTTCGTCCAGATGGGATTCATAGGTGTTTTCCCAGGAATATGTGGAGCGGTAACGGTAACAAACTACCCATTCCTAGGTGGAAACTTTTCTTTTGAGAATTCTCAAAAGAAAAATCCACATAACGGTAACAAACTACCCATTCCTAGGTGGGGACTCACTCGTGCAGCATAAGGGAGGGGTTGCGGCAGTATTTGAGCTTCCTGTCGATTCGCTTCACCACATCTGCTGCTGGTAGCGGCCCTGATGCCTTCACCTGGTGATGCACAATGTGGGATTGGGGAAGTGGGGAGAGGTGAAACTGATTGCCATGTGAGTGATTGCCATGTGAGTGATTGGCACTTGGCTACCTGGCATGTGACCAATGCGCTCGCCATCCTCTAACCATGCTCTCACCACCTCTCACCACCCCTCTCCACTGCTCACCATGCTCTCCACGGTCTTCACAGCAGTCAGCAGCTCCGCCCCCACATGCCCCTGCCCCGCCCCTCCCCCAGTCACCACCTTCCCCGGTGCTGCCTTGGCAGGGGGAGATGCAGCCACCACGGCATCAAGAAAACTGGAGGCAGAGCGATTGGGTGGGGACAGGCATGAGAGGAGGAGGGGTGACGGAGAGACAGAGTGAGAGTGAGAATGCGAGTGAGAGTGAGAGTGGGTAAGAGATGATGAGTGAGAGATGGCGGCAGGGAATGAGTGAGGATGTAGAAGAGAGGTGAGCGCGTGGAAGGGAAGGGAGAGAAGCACGAGGCTTATGGTCTACTGGGCGTGAGAGGATGCCATGCCACCCATGCGCGTCACACCATCTCCATGACCCACCACCATTCCATGCCCCAGGGAACAGTCTGGATGCGGTGTGGTGTGGTGTGGTGTGGTGCGGTGTGGTGTGGTGTGGTGTGGTGCGGTGTGGTGCGAGCAGCACCTTTGGAAGTTGGGAATGGCAGAGGAGGCGTTGTTGGCGAGCTTGATGGCTGCCAGCGCCAGCTGCCTGGAAAGGGGTGGAGTGCAGTGGAGTGGTGGTGGAAGGGGGTGGAGATGGGTGGGGGTGGGTGGTTGGGAAGAGAAAGAGTGAGCATGGGACACTTGGCGATGATATTGTCTGACAATGGTAAAGGAGAAGGAGCAAGGAAGTGCTGATGTCTGAAGTGCGGTGGGGTGGAAGGGGGAGTGCGGTGGGGTGGAAGGGGGAGTGCGGTGGGGTGGAAGGGGGAGTGTGGTGGGGTGGAAGGGGGAGTGCGGTGGGGTGGAAGGGGGAGAGGAGAGACTTACCCTGGAGGGAAGAGCAGCGGCGCATCAGTGAGGAATATCGACCCCACTGCTGCGTATGCCCCATGTGTCAGCGCCTGCGGGCAGTGTGGGGTGGAGAGAAAGGGGAGAGAGGATGGAGGGAAGATTAGAGAAGCACGAGATGAAAGAGCGAATGCAAAGTACAGAAGGAGAGAGAGGAAAGGAGGGGAAGAAGGAAATCGACAGAAAAAAGCACCAGGGCAGAGATTTGCCTCATTAAACGTCAGACGAATTGGCAGCCCACAATTCATGACTGCATGACCCATGCCATGCCCCCTGCCTCACGCCCCACGCCCCATCCCCCCTACCCCATGCCCCATGCCCCGCGCGCCACACCCCCTGACCCCTCCCCCCTGCCCCATGGCCCACGCCCCATGCCCCCGTGCTCCATGCACCATGCGCCATGCTCCATGCCCCATCCCCCATGCCCCATCCCCCATGCCCCATGCCCCATCCCCCATGCCCCATCCCCCATCCCCCATGCCCCATGCCCCATCCCCCATGCCCCATCCCCCATGCCCCATGCTCCATGCTCCATGCACCATGCAGGGATGCCCCCTGCCCCCTGCCCACCAGCACGTGCCTGAATGATTTGCTTCTTCACATCCTCAGCCTGAGACGCGAATGGCTCCCCTAGCAGCTTCGAGAGGAGGCCGGGATTGGAGGAAGAGAGGGAAGCGGGAGGGGCGAGGGGAAAGAGCAACAGCAGCAGCGTGAGGGGATGGTACAGGGTGCAGCACAGTGCACGCACGGTGGAGCATCAGAGGAATCTACCTTTTCCGGTTGCAACACCAAGGCACCATCGGCCTTTCACTGCCCTATATGGCCCTTTACTTTACTTTACCCCCTCTGTATGGCCCTTTACTTTACCCCCCCTGTATGGCCCTCTGTGGCCCTGTGCGCATCCCATGCACCCAATACACCCCACCTGCAACCCTTGAGCTGCTCCAGGTGCAGCAGGAAGCCGTCAATGGCACGGTAAGGCCCGTAGCAGATGAGGCCGAACCTGAGCGTCTGCAGCACCACGTGCTCCATGTGTCCCACGTGCTCCATGTGTCCCACGTGCTCCATGTGTCCCACGTGCTCCATGTGTCCCACGTGCTCCATGTGTCCCACGTGCTCCATGTGTCCCACGTGCTCCATGTGTCCCACGTGCTCCATGTGTCCCACGTGCTCCATGTGTCCCACGTGCTCCATGTGTCCCACGTGCTCCATGTGTCCCACGTGCTCCATGTGTCCCACGTGCTCCATGTGTCCCACGTGCTCCATGTGTCCCACGTGCTCCATGTGTCCCACGTGCTCCATGTGTCCCACGTGCTCCATGTGTCCCACGTGCTCCATGTGTCCCACGTGCTCCATGTGTCCCACGTGCTCCATGTGTCCCACGTGCTCCATGTGTCCCACGTGCTCCATGTGTCCCACGTGCTCCATGTGTCCCACGTGCTCCATGTGTCCCACGTGCTCCATGTGTCCCACGTGCTCCATGTGTCCCACGTGCTCCATGTGTCCCACGTGCTCCATGTGTCCCACGTGCTCC